GTTCTGTAAAAAAATAAAAAGTTATAACTGACCTATTAAATCAATAATAAAGACTTGACTTATCCATGAAAGAAAAATACTTCCAAATTTATTCAAAATAGGATTCAACTATACTTAATGGAAAACATTTAAGTGAAGATAAAATAAAAGGCTAAGCAAAAGTATATAAAACAAATGAAAGTGATAAGGAAAAAAACATTAACATTAACTAAAGATAAGAAGCATTAAATGTGATAGAGTGCTTCTTTAAATACTAAAGTCACAATTATGAAGGAATAGAAGATTCAGCCTACCGTTTTCAGCCTGAGACAGATCAGTATATAAAACATAACGAAGACATTGAAGACAATGTAACAAAGAGGGTAGGCACTGTGGGTATATTTTGAAACTATACACTCTAAACAGAATACTTTTTATCAAATAATGTGCAGCACATTCACAAAACTGATCATATTAGATAACAAAGAAAACAATAAATTCCACCAATTATACGTATTACATATATAAACATAAAAGCATAAACCAATGAAACAGAAAATTAAAAAATAGACATAATAAATAAAAATTCTACTTTGGAAAAGATGATCTAGATAAGGACTAGTGCTATAGTTTGGAATTGGTGTGGCTCTCAGAGGTTTTTGCTTAGGATCTCAAAGCAACAATTTTCAGATATAAGGCTTGTGGAAGGTACAAGGGGACTACATCATTAGGGCTCTGACCTTATCAATAGATCAGCCCATTAATAAATTCATGTGAAGGCAACATAGTGGGAAGAACTAGGTTAGTGGGCCATGCTCGAAAAGGTACAACCTGTCCTCCATTTTTTGGCAACCACAAAGATATACTACCTTCTCATAGAAGCAAAGCAACAGAGCCAATGATCTGTTGTTACTTTAGGTAGTTTTGTTATAGTTATGGCAATCTAGAACACAGCTAACTTAAAAATAATCACAGATCTATAAAATAAGAAATAGACAATTGGGTGTAGTAGTGCAAGCCTTTAATACTAGCACTAAGGAAACAGACTTTCTTCTTTTTCAGAACATATAATTTAATATAGGGATTCCTAGAATTTCCAGGCCACAGCATAGTCTACTATAGCAAGTTTCAGGCCAGTTTTAAGACACTGTCTTAAAAACAAGGAGGAGGGAAGTAATCACCCCCCCCAAAAAAAAGCTGCTTTATAAAAATCGTAAGAAATTATGTTCTAGACTTATATGTAAATATTTAAAGTTGGATGAAATGTATACCTTTATAAACAATAAAAAAAATGAAGTTTACCAAAATGTATTGCATTAGGGAATATGTTGTAAAAACAACTTCCCTAAAGAAAGAAAAAAACTTAGCAAGAAATTATACCACAATAGCAGGCTTAAAGGGGGGAGGAGAAAATCAAGTTTTTAGAAATTCATGTGCCCAATAAACTCTACCTTTAAAAAAAAATGTGTATTTTAGGATGCAATGAATTCCCTTTTATAAATAGATTCATCATCACAGTTTCAGAAAGTGTTAGAATATGACACATTTTTAGGATCAAGAGATACATTTTAAGGTGGCTTAAATCTAGGTAATAGCAGAAAAAAAAGCTATACATAAAAATGTAGGTTTCCTATACTAATCTCACAGAAAGAAAAGTAAACAACTTTACTAGTTTACCATCTAGAACACATATTGAAAAACTAAACACGGAAACAATCATCTTTAAAATGTAGCTCAGTAGAATATGCTCTTCTTATCTTCTTGGGTAAATACCAATGTGACAGACATACAAACCAAGGGAGAATAGCTCACAGGGTGTTTAAAGGCGGTCTGAAACAGAAGTTTTACAAAAAAAGCACGACAGTCACAGAGGCAGGAACCATAACTACTAACTACCTACCCCTACAGCATCAGCCATTGCTAATTAACCATCTTGAGATGTAATGTTTATCTCAAATTTCCTTTAGATGACCAATTTGTAATTGTTTCTAATCCTATAAGATCAGTAACTTTACAGCTAAAAAGAGAAGCTGGCCATTTCTGCTAAAAATTAATGCAATGTTTCTTGCTTAGCAAATATTGATAACATCTTTTTGTCGGGAGGAGAAAATCAAGTTTTTAGAAATTCATGTGCCCAATAAACTCAGTCTATCTTTTTAAAAAAAATGTGTGTTTTGAGGATGCAATAAATTCCCCTTATAAACAGTAAGATTCATCATCACAGTTTCAGAAAATGTTAGAATATGACATATTTTTCAGGATCAACAGATACATCTTAAAACCACTCCTCCCCTCCCCTCCACATCCCCATTTCAGTAAGTATCTACTAGCTTATTCTACAAAGCAAAGCTGCTTCATGCAAGCATCCACTAGAAACCAGCACCACCACCTGTCCCTAAAACAGGATAAACAGGATAGTAAGAAAGCTAGAGGTGACTAACACACTGTACAAGAAGGTGCTCTACAACTACAGGCATGCAGTGACTGTCAAGCAGGTGAACAGAGGCTACAATACCAAAAGGAGCCAAAAGCTCCAAGCAGAAAGCCTAACTCCCTGGTTCATCCCAGCAAGAGCTCCCAGTGTGAATAATGTTCTATCACCGAAAGAACTAAGGATTGTTACAAAAGAAACTCTCAGGAACAAAGTAGCATTTATAGCTAAGTTCTTCTATAAACAATAAATCTGTATGAACTAGATGAAGTTGTATTTTCATTAAGATTTGTTCCACTATAAAATTTTCAGTTTAATTATTATATACATATGTATTTCAGTAAACATAACTCAAATATAGGGCACCTGTATAATAATTACTAATCCTACAGTCAAGAGATCTGAGCTCTACTTATACACATTAACAAAAGAGTACAGATCACTTCTAACTTCTACAATCTTCATGTTTATAACTCATTTTGTTTTAACAGGGAGCATGCCATGCTTTTTTTTTTTTTGTTTTTTTGTTTTTTTGTTTTTTGAGACAGGGTTTCTCTGTAGCTTTTTGGCTCCTGTCCTGGAACTAGCTCTTGTAGACCAAGCTGGCCTCGAACTCACAGAGATCCGCCTGCCTCTGCCTCCCAAGTGCTGGGATTAAAGGCGTGCACCACCACCGCCCTGCCCTGTCTTTGTTTTGCTCTCTACGGAATATCAATGTTACTACTAAAAACTGAGCCTAGTTGTCCATGTGAGAAAAATACAATCAAAATATTCGAGAAATTTGGAGAAATTCTAACTAACTAGGTCTAAACATAATTCAAACATCTTATAACAGTTCAAACCTCAAACAGTAATGACTCAAAGATCATCTTAAAAATCTTCCAAAGTGAAGTTATTAAAGATTGGAGAGTCAATTTATTTAGGTAAATGAAAAACTATTTCATCACCCATGTTTTTAGTTCCTATTAGATTGATTAGGGTCTCTGCTATTCATTTCCCAGAACAATCAGAATAAAGTGTGTGTGTGTGTGTGTGCGTGTGCGTGTGCGTGCATGTTTTCCTCTATCACTCTACTTTTTCTAGACAGGGTCTCACTATGTAACCCTGGATGGCCTGACATTTGGTATATAGACTAAGGTGGCCTCTGCCACCCGAGAGCTAGGATTAAAGGCATAAGTAACCATGTTTGGCTATATGAGGTCAGTTTGTGTGTGTGTGTGTGTGTGTGTGTTGGTTTTGTTTTTTTAAGACAGAGTTTCTCACTGAAACTGAAGCTTAGTCATTTAGTAAAGCTGAGTACCCCTCATAGACCACAGGATTCTTGTATCTCTGCCTCTCAGCTTTGAGATTAAAGGCTCATACCAGCAAGCTTGGCTTTTTTATATGGAGACTAGGAGTCTAAACTCAGGACCTCAAGCAGCAAGCACTTTACCTACTAAGCCATTATTCCAGAACCCCAAGAATGAAACTTTTTACCCTAAGATATCTATAAATACAATAACACATGTAACATGTTTAATCTAATTTTGGTTCAGAAGATAATATAGTTATTTTAAGTCAAATGAGTATAGTAAATCAAACTCAACTCTAATGTTATAATTTCTGATTAATACAAATTCACACCATACATAGCCTTCTACTTGGTTGGGTTGCTCCGGGATGACACATTTTGTTCATTAAATTACTGATGTCTGGGCTTTGCTGGAGATCAGGTGAGCCTTGCTTGCACATGCTTGTTTCCTTTAGTGTTTTTAGACAGGGTTTTACTTTCTAGTCTAGCCTGGCCTTCAACTATGTAGGTTTGTGTTGGCTTAAACTATGGCAATTCTCATGCCTCAGCCTTCTAAATGCATGACCATCCATCTTAATTTTTGGTTTTTGGAGGCATGGTCTCACAATACAGTTCAAGCTGGCCTTGAACTTGAGATAATTGTGTTCTACCACACCTAATTAAAATTTATAAAATACATGTATCTTTTCTATTACTGAACATAAAGGAGAGGGTAGCAGCTTTAAAGGATCCCCTACCCCTAATTTTTAAGTGAATAATCTTTCAGTTAAAGTCTGAATTTATTTAAAAGGTATCTTACTCTATGTACCAAGTCAATAAACTCTGACCAGGAAGTCAAACACAGTTCATTGCCTGGTTCTGCATATTTACTAGAAAAATCTTGCCCATTTTTATTTTGTTGTCTATGATTGCTTTCACATGGTAGTGGTCAAGGTAGAGAGCTGCAAGCAACAGAGATTATGATCTCTGAAGTCTACAATATTTATTATTTGGACCTTTACAAAAGCAAAAATAAAAAAACTAAGGATTCCTACTCTAGACCCTTTAAGGTATATAATAAACAACATTTCTTTGTCAGTACTAATTTAAATTCTACTTTTGCATGAATTATCACTTGCTGTGTATAGTTAAAGTGCCCTTATTTGAGTACTATTAGACTTAGCTTTTGTTGCTGTGTTCACTGAGGCTTCTCATGTACAAGCCATTAAATGGAAAAAAGCTGTGAAGGTTAGCTTTAGATTAGCAAAGACTACTCGGAGAAGATCTGCTTGCTGTTTTTCTTATTGCTGCAAAAATTACCATTTCGGAGTCACTGTGAGAGGCCTGACCCAGGCTGGATACAGGCCCTAGCTCAGAGTGAGAAGCTTGGTCAAGGGAGAGAAGGGGCTCAATAATGTCATCGTAATCATCTTCCTCTGTATCCCCCTCCCCATCGGGAAAAGTACCTCTAGTCAAGAAATCGGAGCGCGTCCGCGCCATTCGAGCTTTCTTTTTATGGGCCGGTCTGGCAACCTGCTTGACCAAATGATAAAACAAATAACACAACAATGTTTTGTCTTTGAAATTTGGGAGAAGATGCCAATGAAAGAGGGCTCATGAAAGTCTGGAAACTTCCCTCCACCCCAACCATGCCCTGTTCATTAGCAGAAGTAACAGGGATGACCAAAGAGAATCCATACACATTACTGTGAACAACAGATAATGATGGAAGCTAAGTCTGCACTATTCTCCATAGTGAACTAAGTCACCCTTCACTGCCACAGGTCTCACCAAAGTCACCTGAACAAACTGTCCTTTTTTGTCTTAGTGACTTCTCTCTTTTATACAATTTATATTTTTTAGACACCATTCCTTGCCTAGTACATACCTTCCTAGTTATAAAAGGCTTAGTTTTATATAGCTTCTTTCTCTTAAATTCACCTGGGAATAAACAGGCAGATATGGTGTTCTACCTACAAGAATAGTAACCTCAAAAATAAGGTACAGCTATCTTAATTAAAAGATAAACAAGATCCAATACTTACCTCTCGTTGGCCCGGCCCTGCAAATTTAGATTTCCAAGCTGGTTCATCTTGTTTGTGAACTTGAGGATTTCCACTCTGTACACTTTAAATAAAATAAACAGGGTCACATTTCAATTTCTAGCTGATATTCTATTGAAGTAGTCCTAAAGTATATTAAGAATTTTGTTTGTTTTTTGAAACTCTCTATGTAGTTCTGGCTACACTAGAACTCAACAAGCAGATCAGGCTTCCCTTAGGCTCACAGAAATCTGCCTGCCTCTGTCTATTGAGTGTCAGGATTAAAGGCATGTGCCAACACACCCAGCTATGGGTATAATTTAACAGGACAGGACAAGTCAAAGAAGCCTAGAAAATTCCATAATTCCATCTTAGTCAATTCCAAAATTGGATTTATTATATTAATCTTCATAGTCTCTTCATCCTCATAGTCTTTAAACTGTGCATGTGTGTGGTTTTGTATGCAGAGTGTGGTCATGCATGTATATAGGCAGTTGCACATCTGTGTGCTATCCTGTGGAAGCCAGAGGACAACATTGGAAGTCCTGCTGTGTTATTATCTGCCTTGTCATCATTAGACAGGATCTCTCACTGAACCTGGAGCTTACATTTTTTGACCACACTGACTGGTCAGTATTCTCCAGTAATATTCATACCTCCTGGTCTCAATGCTTCTGGCCCCCAAAATGAGGGCTACAGATGTGTGCAGCCACACTCAGCTTTAAAGTGGGTGCTGGAGATCCAACCTCATGTCTTCATGTTTGTGCAACAAATGTTCTTATCCACTGAACTACCTCTCAAGTTCCTAGATTTCTTATTCTTACATAATCAATACTATATTCAAGAATCTACATGTGGGGCTGGAGAGATGGTTCAGCAGTTAAGAGCACTGACTTCTTTTCCAGGGGACCTGGGTTCAATTCCCAGCACCCACATGGCAGTTCACAACTGTCTATAATTCCAGGATCCAACACCCTCACATAGACATATATGCAGGAAACACCAACAGGCACAAAATAAAAATAAATTATTAAAAAAAAAAAAGGAAACTACGTGCATGGTGAGTTCTTAGAGGACACTGTGGTGACAATCATTGGGTGCATTACACTATGGTAGGCTATGTTTAAGAAAGGCAGCAACAAAACTAGTTAAGAACCAAGGCAAAGCCAGGCGGTGGTGGCGCACGCCTTTAATCCCAGCACTTGGGAGGCAGAGGCAGGCGGATCTCTGTGAGTTCGAGGCCAGCCTGGTCTACAAGAGCTAGTTCCAGGACAGGAACCAAAAGCTATGGAGAAACCCTGTCTCGAAAAATCAAAAAAAAAAAAAAAAAAAAAAAAAAAAAAAAAAAAAAAAGAACCAAGGCAAACCAGGCAGTGGTAGCACATGCCTTTAACCCAGCTCTCCTGAGGCAGAGGCCTGTGGATCTCTATGAATTCAAGGACAACCTGACCAATGAAGCAAGTTCTAGGATAGCCAGAGCTGTTACTTAAAGAGATCCTGTCTCAAAAAACAAAACAAACAAACAAAAAAGAACCAAAGTGAATTTAATGAGAAAACAAAAATTCCAAATCTATCACATCCTTAGGATACTTGTTTTAAACAGGCTTTTCATATAATCATTTTTTATGATAGTAATAAGGATCTTGTTTTACTTTGGGATGGTTCCTGTTAGTTAGGAAAAAAAAAAAATCACTTCTTAAACTCTTCTAAATTTTCATCCACTACCTTAACTTTGAAACTTGAGGCAATGTAGAATAATACTAACAATGGCAGGATATGAATTGTTATTAAGCAAAACAAAGTATTCTACAAACAATACAGGCATTAAATTGTGAACATTTAATTTTGTCTGAAAAATTCAGGGATAGGACTGCTTTATTAAAATTCTATGTAGAAATAGAGTGTCAGAATCTGAAGAAAATTTGAATAGCATCTAGATTTTCGTGGCACTAATTATTTTGATTAATTAGTATTATGGGTTTTAAAATTCATCCTTAGACTATAAAATCCTTGGGAATCATGACTTAACTACTAGCATCAGACTACTTCAAAACAGACAATAACTTAGAAAATTAGCTGATAAGTTAGACACTTTTCCATTAGAAATATTTTACTTTCATAAGGGGTTATAAGAAGTTATCTCGGAGCCGGGTGGTGGTGGCGCACGCCTTTAATCCCAGCACTCGGGAGGCAGAGGCAGGCAGATCTCTGTGAGTTCCAGGCCAGCCTAGGCTACAAGAGCTAGTTCCAGGACAGGCTCCAAAGCTACAGAGAAACTCTGCCTTGAAAAACCAAAAAAAAAGTTATCTTGGCCTGGGGAGATGATTCAGTGAGTACTAGCTGTGTTAAGTCTGAAGCTTAATAAGGATGTATGATGCTCCAGGTTTGATTCCAAGCATCAGAATTAAACAAAACAAAACAAAAATAACACCAAAAAAAAATAATAAAAACCCTAAATCAGAAAACAGTTCTTCATGTCTGCCATGAGTTAAAATTCTTTCCTTGTGGTTATCATCACTTAAAGGAAAGACCTAAATTATAAAATAAAGAATTCCCACTTAAAATAGATGCCTAAAGCAGTCTGACCCTCAGAAACATAAGACAGATTTGGGCATACTGGCACATGGCTTTAGCAGTCCCAGGTGGCAGGCAGATTTCTGTGAGTTTAAGATCAGCCTGGTCCACATAGTGAATTCCAGGCCAGTGTGGGCTACAGGGTAAGATACTGTTTCAAAAATACAGGAAAACAAAACAAAACAAAACAAAAAACCTCTAATAGCTGGATGGTGGGGGCACATGCTTTTAATCCCAGCACAAACCCTATAAAGTAGAAGATAGCAGCCAGCACCTGGGGAAAAAGCTGTTTAGTGAGTTTTAGTACTAAAGATGAAAAAGACCTGTTGATAACAACTTTTATACAACTAATATTACTATATCATACACTTAAATTTTATAAAAGGTATTAATGAAGACCATAAATAGGGCCAATAGCTGTGACAAAACATGTTCTGAAAAGTCTTGAAAATAACCAGATTGAATCACTCCACTTCATAGCTCTACATCGACCAGCACATGCTGAATGCCTGGAACATTGACAAGCACCATATTGACCTTTGCAAATGCTTTTCAATTAATGAGGAAGAATAAAAAGAAATGTGCTATCTATACTCAAAGATTCCTAGGCTATAACTACTCATACTTTACCCAGAGAAAAAATCACAGATTAGATAGTGTAGCATGCATATAGACAAGAGTGGAACACACAAAGCGCTTCAACAAACTACCCTAGGAAACTTCCTACTTAACATATAAAATGCAAATTTTACTTACGGTGGAATAATCATATTGTCTTTTGGTGTGAAGAAAATGGCTCTTGAATTTCCCCCTCTGGAAGGGTCATCAGGTCTGTGGCCATAAGAGTGAGTTGACCTAAAGTGTTCTCTTTCTGTAATGCGGTTATTAGAGAGTTTACAGGCAACATGTTGGGTGCCTATTCTTTCTGTCTTGGATAATTCCCTGGCAGTCTTTGATTGGCATGGGCTTCCTTTTCTTTCAAAGAAGAGGGTGACAGGTCGGTCTTTCGGAGGTAAATGAATGGAGGAACTATCTTTTGTGGCAAGAGCTGTATCTCTTTTAGTGACTGCTGATGGGGAACCTACTACACCAGCTTCTCCCTCACTTGGGGTATTTTGGATATGCAGAGAAGATGGCCTTTCTACTCTTTGTCTTGGCTGATAAAAAGATGGTGCCAAGAGAGATTCCTCAGTGCGTGCCTGTTCAACCGTCTTGAAGGCTTTACGTTCCTTCTCTAAAATATCTGTCTGTTGACGAATCTGTTCCATCATTTCTTTTTCATTCTGCTGCTGTAACTGCTTTTGCCTTTTCTCCTTTTCAGTATTCAGCTTTTCCAACTTCTTAAGCACAGTACACGAAGCATCTGTATTCAAAGGAATCACTTGATCTCCTGAGAACTGACACTTCCTGGCTTCCCTGTTGATATCTAAAGTAATAGCTGTATTCAAAGTGGCTTCTCTTTCCAGCAGTTTGTTTCTTTGGATACTTGTGTCTGGTTGGGAACTTGTTTTTAGAGGTTCTTGATGGGGAATATAAAAAAATGTAGGTAGACTACTTGAAACAAAAGAGTCTCTCATCTGGGGTTTACAGGAGATAGGTTCAGAACAGACCAGCTTTTCCTTAGCAGTCCCATTCTTCAAATGCTCTGAATCACAAGATGCTCCTTTTCGAGTCAATACGGAGCTAGTGTCCCTTGAGGCACTAAGAACATTGTCTTGTGAATGGAATTTTGGATTAGCAGATATATTGGGTGATGGAATCTTCAATTCTCCCTCATCTAAAATGAGGGACTCTGGTTTGCTCTGTTGGCTCTCCTCACAAGTCAGAAGTTCTAAGCTTCCTTGTGAACTCTCACTATCAGGTGTACCCTGTGGAGACTGCAGGCCTTCCGGAGCCAGTTCTGAAGACCATCTACGTTCCTCTGAAGGAGACACACCACCAAGAGAGCGAACTTTCAGCAATTCTAAGCTAAATATAGCTTGCTCTAATTCTCTCATTCTCCGACTTTCCCTTTTGGCTCGACCTACTTTTTTCTGATGGAGATCCTCCAAGGACTTGGGTCTCTGTCTTACAATCACTTCTTCCTGCAAGTCCGTACCACTTTGGCTTCTGCCTCTCTCATGCTGCTTGTCTGGAGACTCCTTTGAGAAATCCATGGAACTTTCACGGCTAATTCGATTACTCTCTATCACAGATTTACATTCCTCTATGGCTTTCACTCTGTTGTCAAAAGAACGATCCTCCCACTCAGAAGGGTCTGAACCCTGAATTTCTAGAGTTCCACATGCCTTGACATGCACCAATCCATGCTCTAGTTTTGTTTCTTTTAGCCTTTGCTCTTTTAAAGCTTTATATCTATACAAAAAATAGACAAAATGGATTAGAGAATTTACTATAATTTTTTAATAAATGGAACCCTGCTATCCTTAATTATGTTCAAAGTTGACCTTAAACTGCAGGCTCAATGTAATCTTCCTGCTTCAGTCCCCTATTTAGCTAGGACTAGAATGTACCACTATATTCACCTGCAAAAACTAACTTGATTATACTAGGTTGAATTATCCTCTTCTTTATATGAGTAATTCCTATCTGGATAGCCTCAACAAAATGTTAACTGAACTAAAGATCCATCAATAGTGTGACTTTAATATAGTACAATAGAGATCAATGTTCCCAAGGTCAAAAAAAAAAAAGGGAGTTGAATATTTCCAAATTTATAAGATTAAACCATATGTACAAGGTTTTTTTTCTTAGCAATTATAACCATAGGTCATGGAGGTTCCCAACTTGATTTAATTCAATGAACATTTATTTAACTTCTGCTATAGCCCAGACATTGCAGGTAAGAACTGGTAGAAATTTATCACAGTCTAGTGATAAAAAAACATAGGTAATAATGAAAGTATTAAAGCAAAGGTTTAAATAAAGGACCTATAAAAACAGAAGAACCAACTGCTTCATTAACATAGATTACCTTTGTCTTGCTCTGAATCCTCTATATGTTGACTGTAAAAGGATAATTTTGTTCCTTTGTTCTTTGTACTTCTTACTTTGCCTGTAGCTCCTCCACCTTGCCTGTATACAGGTAGCAGCCCTGTGTCGGCATCTACACAGTTCCCTCCACCTCTGCTGGATAATGACAGCTGCAGCTCGTAACTCCAAGTATCGCTGTCTCTCTAAGTGAGCACGCCAGGAAGCTTGGAGAAGGGATGCTGCACTAGCCATAATCAAAGCATCTTTCTTCACAGTCGCATTTCTGACATGCTTTTGATTTAGGTAATTCCTCCAGAAACGCTAAGGGAAATGAGAAATGTCTGTCAAGTTATCACTTGTTTCAAAGGATAGGTAAAAAAGGCTAAGTTTCTATGTCATTAGCACTTTAAGCATATAAGCAACTAACTTGTTGGTGGTTAATAATAACATTATTATTATAATAATGTTAACTCTTTCTATGCTGCCACTGAGTTGTGTTGATGTTCTGGTTGGTCTGCTGCTGCAGGTGTAATGAAAATGGATACTGCTTTACAAGAGGTGTTGAAGCTCACCTCTTCTAAGACCACAATGACTTAACAGATGGGATTCACAAAGTTGCCAAAGCCTTAAACAAGTGTCATGCCCATCTTTGTGGATTTTCACCCAACTATGAGCCAAGCTGATGGAGGCCCTTTATGCTAAGCACTAAATCAATGCTATTAAAGTTGATGACAACAAGAAACTAGGAGAGTAGAATGGCCTCTGAGAAAATTCATCAAGGGTAAAAAAATTTCATATAGTAGTGGTAAAATAAAAAACTTCAGGTAAGGCCACTATCCAAGAATACTGCAAATGTAAGCTGCAAATGGTTTTTTAGAAAATAAATAAAAAACTTTTTTTGCTTACCAACAGCAGCTATTTTAAATTTGAGGCCAGCCTGATCTACAGAGCGAGTTCTAGAACTGGCTCTAAAACTACATAGAGAAACCCTGTCTTGAAAACAGCCCCACCACAGCTATTTTAAATAATATAACCTAGCTGAGGTTAATTATACAATTTAAATTTTTTAGATGTTTTCAGGTTCTACAGATTAATTAGTCAGTTCTATTTTTCTCATTCATTCATTCATTTATCCATTCATTCATTCATTCATTTTTGACAGGGTCTCTCTATTGTAGCTCTGACTGTTCTGGAATTCTACGTAGACAAGCTGGCCTTTAAATCCCAAGATGTTACCTGCTGTTACATTCAAGGTAATCTATTAGATGTCACACGTATTTAAGAAATGATTATAATTCATTCTTGTCTCTGAAGTTTCATTATTACTTCAATGTTTCACAGTAAAATGGTTCTGGTTACTAAATGAAGTCCAAACTCACTCTTACACAAAGAATCCTAGTCTCATCCCACCTGGATAATAACAGATGCCTGTCTCAAATGGAGGAACTGTTGCCTAGAGAGCAAGACCCTAAACCACCGCTGCAATAGTACAATTCTTCGAAGCACTTCCTGGTGAAGCAGATCTTGTAAGTGCTGTCGTTCATGCTCCTTTAGGAAAACCTATGAGAAGGAAGAAAGACAAGGGATAAAGCTTAAGAAGAAATGAAGAACACTATTCATGAATTATTGTTTCTGGGGTAAGCTACTCTTTCAGAAAAGGACATATATAATGGCAGACATGCAAATAAAGTACTGATAAATAGTTCTATCACACTGGGCGGGGGTGGTGCAGGCCTTTAATCATAGCACTAGAAAGGCAGAGACAGGCAGATCTCTGTGAGTCCAAGGCCAGCCTGGTTGACAAGCGCTAGTTACAGGATGGCCAGGACTACACAGAGAAACCCTGTCTCAGAAAACCAAAAATAGTTCTATCACCTGAACTAAAGTAATCATTTTCAAACTGAAAAAAGATGTGAGTACATGAGAGAGGAGATGGGGAAAATTAGAAAATGTACCAAATTTATATTTTCAAACCTCTGCTACATTACTGCTTCTCATCTGGAAAAGTCATTGCTGTAAAAGATCAGAATACCACTAGCCAATATGTCACAATTTTTTAAAATTTTGGAATGGGGAAAAACTGATAACTGCCAATCTTAAAAAGTGAGTACAACCTGAAGGAACCAACAGTAACCATCTATTTGACATCTAAAGTGCACTAAAAGTTTCTTCATTCCCAGAGTCAAAAGTAAGTATAAAATAGACATATCTCTTTGAAATAGAACTTACGGTTCATCTTTAGGAGTAGACAGATATATCAAGAGTTAAAAGATTAAACTACTATGAGATGGAGACAGATGATCTTACCTGAGCAATAAAAGGATTGGAAAAACTAAAAGTTTCTAGTTAGTTAGAAAAACTAAAGCACATGAGACAATGAATAACTGAATTAGTCTTCAAAAAGTACTGTTAAATATTATGAAGCTACAATATGGAAGTGGATTTTGTTTGTCTTGTGTGTTTGTGACAGATGCTCATATAGCCCAGGCTGCCCTAAACTTCTATGTAGCTGAGAACAGTCTTGAATGAGTGAGTCTTCTAGCACTGCTTTCTAGTACTGGGACTACAGGCATGTACTACTATTTCCAAGACAATATGGGGGATCAGACAGTGTGTGTGAGGAAGATAATATAAACTTAGTGAGGAGTCTATTGGAAAAATAATTGACATGAAGTCAATAAAAAGAAAGTGACATATTTCAATGACACAGAGGAAAAGAGGATCAGAAACAAAATGGAATCAGGAATGGAGAAATGGGCTGAGATACGAAATCATTTTTTCCCCCCTGTTTTTTGAGACAGGGTATCTCTATGTAATTTTGGCTGTCCTGGAACTTGCTCTGTAGGCCAAGCTACCTACAGAGAGTTCCTAGAAGAAACAAAATGAAGGAATATAAATAAAAGGTAACAAATAGCTGAAAAGGGCAGTAGAAGAATCAGAATAATGTTACTGTAGACAAGCTAAATTGGTCATTACAGTAGAATATCTTATTCAGAGATGGTTTGAATTACAGCTGAAGTTGTAATTAGAAATAGAACATTGACCAAGAATTCTATGATTAGTACTGATTACAACATTTTATTTTAGGTTGTGGGGGTGGGTAGGTCAGGTAACAATTGTAGAAGTCAGTTCTCTTCTACCTACCACATGGGTTCTGAGATTAAACTCAGGTCATCAGACATGATGGCAAGCACCTTTACTACAGTCATTAAAAAAGAAAAGGCCCTATGGTCAGTTAAGAGGGTTAAGAGGGTTTGCTGGGTAAAAGTGCTTGGTATGTAAGCATAAGAACCTGAGCTTTGTCTTACAAACCTAAGACAAAAGGAGGACAGACTCTTGAAAACTGTCTTGCATGGATGCGCTAGCATTCATACATTGCTCATATACAAATACAGTAATAACAACAATAATAATAATAAATAAAATTTTGGGGCCAACAAGATAGCATAGTGCGTAAAAGTACTTACCACTAAGCCTGACAACTTAAGATTCATCGCTGGGATCCACATGGTAAAGGGAGAGAATCAAGTTCACAAGTTTTCCCCTGACCTCCACACTCATGCCATGGCACATCTGTGCCCATACACATACATATACACACAAATAAATAAAAGCATAAATTTAAAGCCACCTAGTTTAATCAGTTTGCTTGTAATATTTGATAACATACTATCTTTTCATAAAACTCATGACAAAGAAGGTATTATGAAAGTACAAAATGCACTCAATTTTGACTAAGGCTCTATATACTTACCATCGTTTTTCCAACTTGGTAATTATCAGGATTAATATTTATTTTCCTGAAGAAATCTTGAATGTTAAATTTAGAAGGGATAATATTTCGGGGAAGAAGTACATGAAAGTGACTCACAAAATCCTAAAAAGTGAAAAGAAATTGATATCAAATCACAAAAGAACTAGATGAATTTTAAACCCTAAACTAACAATAAGGGGTTTCTCAGTCTTTTAATAAATAATAAAAAAAATTCCTTAAAGCAAGGCAGTGGAAAAGATCAGAATACACTGAAAGAGGGCAGGGGCTACATGAGTGAAGGTACTCTAGGGCATGCCCCACCCCCCTTTTCTTTTTGGTTTTTCAAGACAGGGTTTCTCTGTAGCATTGGAGCCTGTCCTGGAACTAGCTCTTGTAGACCAGGCTGGCCTCAAACTCAGAGATCCACCTGCCTCTGCTTCCTGAGTGCTGGGATTAAAGGCGTGCGCCACCACCGCTCGGCCTTTCTCATTCTTTTAAAAGTGGAAGGTAGCAAACTGGTAGAGGTAGAAAAATAATGAGAATGGGTATGAGAGTAACGAGAATTTATTATATACATGTATGAAATTGTCAAAGAAAAACTTATTAATAAAAAAGTAGGATGAAACAAAAGAAACTATTTGTTACTTTATTATAAATAGGAGGTGCAGAAGACATGGCTCAGCACTGAAAGCTCTTCCAAAGGTTTAGGCTAGATTCCAAGTGTCCGCATGCCTGCTAACAGCCATCTGCAACTCATTCAGGGGAATACAATACCTGCTTTAGGCCTCCAAAGACACTGTACTCACATGGCACATAGATATACATGCAAGTAAAACAATCATAAACAGAAAATAAAAAAGTATCTCTTAAAAATATAGTTTCAAAACACAGTAAGAGGAAAGATACTGAGTCTGAATCATGTTATCAAATGAAAAATTTAAAAAAGGAAAAAAATAAAAAAAGAAGGATAGAAGTTAATTAATTATTCTTTTTGAGAAAGCCATACCAAAGACAAAATAAAAATCATTTAGCAAAAACCTGAACTCCAGCAAGGAAGGAAAGGAAATAAAGCAGCTTTTGGAACATACAAATGAGAATCAAGTTTTCTCTTTCGGATCTCTGTGAGTTCAAGACCAGCCTGGTCTACAAGAGTTAGTTCCAGGACAGGCTCCAAAACCACAGAGAAACCCTGTCTCGAAAAAAAAAAAAAAAAAAAAAAAAAACCTGCTTAGTTCCTGAAAGGTTCCAATATAATTTTTACATAGCAGTATATCTGATAATGATTGCTGAGTAACATTCTAGAAGCTTTCTATGTAAGAAGTCTAGGAAAATTAAAGGAAAAACCAAATGGAACCTTTTTATTAGACAAGATCATTCTGATTGAATTATTTCAATTACTGGAAAAAAATCAGTATGGAAATTGCTGAATTATAGTCAAACTTAGCATCAGCAAACATTTTTTTGGACAGGGTTTCCTGTAGTTTTGGAGCCTGCCCTGAAACTAGCTCTTATAGACCAGGCTGGCCTTGAACTCACAGAGAGCCACTTGCCTCTGCCTCCCAAGTGTATCACCTGGTTTAGCAAACATTTTTATCAAATGAAAATAGACAAATAGGAATAGTCAAATACTGTATCACAACATATACTCAAAAAGACTGCTGCACTTCCAAAAAATGAGTATTCTCTTAACGCTTTTTCAACTTTGTTTAAAAATGGTAAAATTAAAAAATGAGCCAGGCATGGTGGCTCATACCTTTAATCCCAGCACTCATATGGCAGAAGCAGGTGAATCTCCGAGAGAGTGTGGTCTACAAAACAAGTTTCAGAACAGCCAGGGCTGTTACACAGGTATATAATAAGTAAAATATGTAGAAATAATTTGTTTAATCAATATCTTGTGTTTTTGCAAATAAAGCTTGCCTGAAGATCAGAGTATAGAGCTAAGCCACTAGAGGCCAAGGAGTGGTGGTACACACTTTTAATCCCAGAATTTAGGAGACAGAGGCAGATGGATCTCTGTGAGTTCAAGGCCACCCTGGGCTATACTATATACTAGACCGATTCAACCTCAAAGAGCCAGGTGATGTTGGCTCACACCTTTGATTGCAGTACATGGGAGTCACATGCCTTTAATCCCAGCATTAAAGGGGTTGGAGATAGGAAGGGATATGGTTGGGTGGAGAGAGAACTATAAAGTGGGAGGAGACAAGAGCTCAGTGCAGTCTGAGGTTTGTGGCAACAGCTACGGTCTGAGGATGTAGTCTAAGAAGGCAGTCTGAGGTCAAGATTGCTCTTTTGGTCTGAGGATTTGGTAGAGGTAAAAGGTTTCTCTAGTGGCTAGCTGCACTGCTTCTCTGATCTCTCAGCTTTCACCCACTAATACCAGACTCTGGATTTTTTTATTAAGAACAATTGGGGGTTGGAGAAATGGCTCAGTGGTTAAGAGCACTGATTGCTCTTCCAAAGGACCCGGGTTCAATTCCAGCACCCACAAGGCAGCTCACAACTGTCTGTAACTCTAGTTCTAGGGGCCTGACCCCCATGGCAAAACGCCAATGCATATAAAATAAAATTAAAAAAAAAAAACCTTCCCATTAAAAAGAAGAAGAAGAACAATTGGAATTTGTGGTACAAATTCACTTGATATGAATATACATGTATATATATTTAAATACAAAGTGTATAACCTGGAAAGAATACTTGGAGCTATATCCTGATTGACGAATTCGAACTGTCTCCAGCATTCCAGTGTACCGAAGCTGTCTTAGCACCAAAGTATCATTGAATCTTAAGGGTAGCTAAAACAAAAAAAGAAAAAAGTTAATAGATCTCCAAATTCGGATTTGTCTTAAAAGTACAGCTGACTTTTGAGTATCCAGACTGACAAACATATCTACACATTTTATTTCAACAAACTACAAATAAGGGTACGGAAATAGAAAAGGGTAAGGGTAAAAATTTCTAACCATGAAAATGCTAAATAATTTTTAAAGAAACATAGACTATATCTAAACAGAAGAGTTTAACTATTATTAATAGTAATACAATTTTCAGAGAAAAAAATCTTTTTTCTTCTAATGGAATTTCAAGGGCTGTTAATACTTATCCGGGAGATTCTAGTACATGTTGAATCAAATCCACAAACACCTTACAGATGGGTAATATGGAAATTAAAAGACTAGCTATAAATAATATTTATGAAATATAAATTTCCATATAAAAACTATGCATAATTCCTCTCTATTCCCTTTTAATGTAATTTGAGCTTTGTTATGAAATAACCTGAGTCTTATACAGAATACTTTTACCTTTTCAGCATTGGAGCGAATACATTTTACAAAATATGGTTCTGCTTGATCAAGTGTCTCCATCAGCTTGCTTAAGGAGGCCTGCAATAAAAGTAGTGTCATTAGTATGCTTTTACTTAGGAGTTGACAAGTGACTTATAAATATAAACAACTGTGGCAGAATATGGAAACAACCTTCTATACATACAGGGTTTGTTTCTGAAAAGGAAATTATGTACATTCCCATTCTGGTTAAATCAAGAATTTGCTGAAGATGAGGAATGCAGTTTAAACTTAATCTTAAAGCTCAGGCCCTGGCAATAGTCATTATTGCAGATGCATTTTAGAATACTCTAAATAGAGAATGATTTTTCACTATTCTTCATATTTCATTAAGTAACAATATTCAAATGCATTTTTTAAAAATAAAAGAAAGGTAGTCTTGCTTTTTTTCTTTTCTTTTTCCTGTTTGTTTTGAGATAGGACCTTGATATTTGTTCAAGGTTGGCTTATGACAAGCTATGTAGCTCAGGCTGACCTTAACTTGTGATGTTCCTTCTGAGTACTGTGATTACAGACATATGTCACCATGCCCTGCCTTGATATTCTTAACATTCTTGTCAGTTTTAGAAATCACTCGAAAAGAGCCACTATCTTAAATGAATTTTAATGTTTGTAAAGTATGTAATGATATTCTCTCTTCTACACTGGTTTTATAGATATATCCCAATTAGTCTGGATAGAGGAATATCAGTTTTTGATCTGCTCAAAGAACTAGAGCTTTTGTTTTAATTAATCTCCTTCAATAGTCTTCAGGTTTTCTTTTTAAGAATTTTCTTTTAAAGATTTATTGTATTTTTAGTTTTGTGTGTGTGTGTGTGTACTAGAGTCCTGAGGCCCACAAAGGCCCGAAGCATCAGATTCTCTGGAGGTGAAGCTGGGGTGGTTGTGAGGCACCCCTTATATTGGTGCTGGCAACCCAACTAAAATCCTCTGCAAGCACATTTGCACTTTAAACCTTCTCTCCAGACCCTCTTGTTTATAGCTTCACAGACTTCTATTTATCTTTGAATTACTCCTTCTTTCTTCTCGCTTAGGATTAAATGTATCCTTCACTTTCTATTTTATTAAAGAAAAACCTCTGATTCTTGGATATACAACCCAACTCCTTTTCTAATAAAAGTACTCTCAATTTATGGCTTCATAGGCAATGAATCACATCACATCAGTGATCTTCAGCTTACTTTGATCCTTCAACAACAACCTTTAAGAAACAGATTGTATTTAGCATGAGTAGAAAAAGTAATAACCTGAAACTGGGCGCTGATACTGGGAGGTTTCTTTTTCTTGTGCAGATGAAGAAGGGATTTGGTAATCCGATCCTGTAGGGTGAGTCTTGTTAGATGCTTCAAAGAATTTACCTCCAGCAAGTGCTAAAGAGAAGGGGAAAACTATATATAAATATATATGTATATATATATACATACATACACAATACTTATATATGATAAAATATCATCAGCCACTTTTCATTATTTCCAATTGTGAGAAATATTTTATTTACCAAAGGTGGTTAGTCTGACAAGGGCTCTCCCCCTTTCCCTCTGTGTCAATAAGTCAGAATGTCAAGCCCAGTACCCATCAATAGGATGAGACACCACCTACATGAAGTCTAAAAGGTAAAGCCATTTTGGCAAAATTGGTTACTAGCTAGATTTGGCTTCTGGCATACCTTTTTTGCAAAAAGAGCAATCACCTTGAAGACTTACTCTTGTAGAATATTATTTTAACCCTGTATAGATGTGTTACATTTGTTTTCATTGCAGAACATTAACTGTATAAAAGTGTGTTACTTTTGTTGATGCTGCATTTGTTTAATTATGTAAAGAAGTGTTGTATTTGTTTCACCTTGATTGCCTAAGGACCTTGACTGATCTCATAGAGTTTAATGGCCAATAGCTAGGCAGGAAAAATACATGGGGCTGGCAGGGAGAGAAAATTAATAGAAGAAAAAAAATCTAGGCTCAAGGGAGGAAGGAGAAGAAAGAGGAGGAGGAGACGACAAGGGTGATGCCTGGAGCAAGAAGCTAAGCAGTCAACAAGAGCAGCGAAAATAAGATATACAGAAAGAAAAGTAAAAAGCCCTGAGGAAAATGGTAGATGAAGACAAAAAGGTTAATTTAAGTTAAAAGAGCTAGCCAGAAAAGAGCTAAGCTCAGGCCAACCATTCAAAACTAGACTCCATATCATGATTTGGGAGCTGGTTGGTGGCCCCAAATAAAAAGTCTGGTACAGTTTTACTTTCACTTTGTTCATGTGTTCCTTTGTGCAACACTGTGAATATTCATTTCCAATACTATGTATACTATGTACCATTTCATAAATGATAAGATTAAATGAAAAATGTGAATTAAACATTCTACTCTCTTCTTCCTCCAAAAGCTACAAAACCAAAAATTAAACTATATTTCACAAACTAATGCATCTAGAGTTCTGGAAGTGGCTTAAATTTGCCAGTCAAATACTGTATGAAACTGGAAAAGTATAACAGAGGCAGAGGCCCTGGCTACTAGTTTTATTATTTTGGCAAAATGCACACAAAGGCACTTTCAGCTTTCTCTATTACCAATCTCTGAGTGTTCAGAGGTAGAGTACAATTACTACAGAGTAAATGCAGTTTATCTTTGTGATCCCCTCATTATACAATAAATAGCAGTACCCATAAGCAGTTGGGTGCACCAGCATCTTCCTTCTTACTGGTTACAACTGGGGCTCACTCTGCAGTGATGTTTTTTACTATTCTTGATTTTTAAGGCTTTAAGTCATGTGTCTTAACTAGCTACATTATTTTTACTTTAAAAATATCTCAAGTAATTACCTTTTTGTATACTTAGTTTAGAAACTTTAAAAATAATTACTCAATTCTCTCCAACTGAAACCTGACATATAATGTGACTAAATTCAATGAAACCTCGGCACTACGAAAGAAATGAGAGATACAGCTTTCCCTGGAGCTCCAGGCATACATTAAGCACTGTTAAAAATCATTCTAGTAGTAAGGTTTTAAAGTTTTTATTGCAAGCACTCCTGCTGTTCTTTTTCGTCTAAATAAGTATTGGCATTGGGAGAAGGGGCAATCTGACTCATTGATTAGCAGCTGTTGGACTCTCCTTTGATGCCCTGGAAGCCTTAAGCAAAAGAATAGCTGGTGCCACTATGGCCCTGTTTTGAGCATTGCAAGGACAATCCGGCAAAATCAGACAATGACTGGTGCTGATTACTCCAGCTCCTGGAAGCTTAGCCTAGCTAGGGGCTATTTCAAACAACTTGTACCAGAGACTGTTAGCTACAGTAAATTTCAATGAATTGTAGAAGACCTTGCAACATTTAAACCTAATCCAGAGAGGGATCAATTGCTCCAAGGGAATAGCAGTTAAATTGTTCTAACTGGTGGGAAAAATGAAAAGTGGCAACTGGTGCACATAAAACTTTCTTTGTAAGGGTGGTGTGCTGTGATTGGTACACAAAGTGCACCTTGGTTGGCCAAACACACCTTCTCTTATTATAGAAAAGCTGCCCAGGTGCTGTGAGACACAATCTAATGCTGTCTCAATTAATGTTGAAAATGCTAAACCTAATAAAACCCATCTCTCAAGTTCACTTTTCTTATGTACTCTTAGTAATGTAGACTGAGCTGTTTTTATCTAATAAAGCAGCAGCAGAAAGAAGCATAGTGACAGCATCTGTCTCAGGTCCAACAGCAAAAGTAGCAAAGGCAGCTGGCTGCTTAATGGCTGAACAAATAAAGTCAAGAGGTTAGCAGGTCAAGTGGGTAAGGATTACTGCATCACCAAAGGAGCCACATCTACACTTTGAAAGGGTAGCCAGGACAGGAACAGGGGCAATAAAAATAGTACAGGGAGTTAATACTGGCTACTGGAAAAATTCCAGAGAAATGTCAAACCTTTAGGGTCAAGAGTTCCAGATACCCCAGGCTGCTGTAACACTGACCTCTGCCTATGCTAAGGTATATTCTGATTTGTTAGACCCATGCAGGGGCTCTAACATTTGTAGATCCCAATACCTAAGGCCTGGATGAAAGCTGTAACATTAAAGGTACCACCTTATGCTACTCCAATCTGCCTACTACCACTCACTGCTATCAAATACTAAATTATAAGTAAGCAATCAAGGCCCGCACTTGAAGAAACTCCTTACCTACCCACAATTTGTATTTGGCTAGAGCAAAGTGGGTAACATTTCTACTCTGTTAGAATACAAAAAAAGTGGTAAGAAAAATGGGTTTTCATTAGATATAAAATCGTTTGGCATCTTGATCTACAATTTTGAAGTCTCCAGAATTATAAACAACAAACTAACATGTTTAGAAACTACCAGGTCCATAATATTTTAATATAGTAGTTCAAAGAAACTAATGTAACTCTCATGTTAAGGATGATAAAAATGGGAAATAAAATTAACTCAAGATTTGATTCTGAGTAACTATAAAAATTTGCTAGGGGAGGAACACAGTAAAAATCATTTGAGGTGTGAAAAATAAGAGAAAAAGAGGATATCAAAACAGAAATATACAATAGGGCATTTGATGGTTTGAATGATAATGCTCCCATAGGCTCATGTTTGAATGCTTGGTCCCCAGTTGGCAGAACTGTTTGTGAAGGACTCAGGTGTAACCATGTTGGAGGAGGTATGTCACTAGGGGGTAGGTTTTGAGGTTAAGAAAGCCTCATTCTGCCGGGCAATGGTGGCGCACGCCTTTAATCCCAGCACTCGGGAGGCAGAGGCAGGCAGATCTCTGTGAGTTCGAGACCAGCCTGGTCTACAGAGCTAGTTCCAGGACAGGCTCCAAAGCCACAGAGAAACCCTGTCTCAAAAAACCAAAACCAAAAAAAAAAAAAAGAAAGAAAGAAAGAAAGAAAGAAAGAAAAGAAAGCCTCATTCTTAGTTAGCTCTCACTGCATCATGGCTGTGGATCAAGATGTGAGCTCTCAGTTCTCCAGCCTGCCTACTGCCATGCTCCATGACTCTACCCATCTGAAAATGTAATCTTCAATGAACTCTTTCTTCTATATATTGTACTAGCCATGGTGTCTTAACAAAGCAACAGAAAAGTAACTAAGACAGAGCAATGCAAAATCATTACAAGAATATAGCTCCACAGAATAGTTTAAGAAAGAATATTAAATTTAGACTGGATCCATCCAGGGTGATATTGAACTAACCGAGATCTCTATGCCTCTGTCTCCCAATTCCTGGGACTAAAGGTGTATGCCACCACTGCCCGGCCTCTAATGGTTTAGCTCTGCACTCTGATCTTCAGGGAAGCTTTATTTGTTGAAGTACAAGCAAAATAATACTACACATTAGTATTAGTCTTGAAGTCTAAATCATTGGTTTATTTACTTTCATAGATCACACTGATGAGATTTCTTATGTTCCTTGAATAATATTCACTGTTTTAGGCTTTGTGTTAGGAATATGATACAATCTAAGTTTAAACTGATGAGACTACATAGCCTGGGTTAAGTAAAAGAAGTGGTTGGTGTGTTTAATATTAAAGTCTGATTGTTCAACCCTATATACTAAGATGAGTATTGTTTCACTAGTGAATCATGTCTTCAAAACTTCTGATAAAAGCCAACCATCTTATGCAACTATGCATTTGGAATTGGCCTTAAGTCCATCCCACTGATCAATTTATCTAGTGTTATTGAATACTTGAACGCTTTGACAGAATAATTATGTCTGAAAACCACATAGCAATAGCTGTCCAAATAAATTCATTTTAAAACCTGAAAAAAAAGGATATTAAAGTAGAAGTGACCATTTTGAGTTATGAGATAAAATAAAGCCTAAGAGGAAAACCCCCCAAAGAACTATTATTATAGTTATTATCTTGCAGATTAAACTGTGTGGTTGCAAATCACAGAATTCCTTTTTAAAGATTGCGTAGAATTCCACTATGGCTATAAATTACATATTCTTTATCCCTGGATAAAGTGAATTTATCAATTCACTGAGTAGGCACTTAGACAAGATACCAAGACACAGAAATAACCTATTTTAAACACTTAACATTGTAATGCTGACCAGCTCTTGTGGACATGTAACCAGAAGAACTACTGGATTATTTGCTGTATATGTTTTTCTTTTTTTTTTCCCGGTTTTTTGAAACAAGGTTTCTCTGTAGCTTTGGTGCTTGTCCTGGAACTAGCTCTTGTAGACCAGGTTGGCCTCAAACTCACAGAGATCCACCTACCTCTGCCTCCCAAGTGCTGGGATTAAAAGAGTGCGCCACCACGGCCCGGCTTGTGTTTTTACTTTTTAAGAAGGAATATCCAAACTATTCTAAAAAAATATCTGTACTTATAATCCCAACTTTGCTGTATCCCCCTACCCCACTCCCATAAATGCTAAGGGTTGAACAAGCACTCTACAGCTGACCTATATCCCCAGTTCAACTTCCAAGTTTATGATAATAGTTGTTCTAACTAGGAGTATGAACTGTTATCTCATCATGGGTTTTATTTGTACTCCTCTGATGATCAGTGATGTTAAGCATTTGGAAAATATGTATCTGTTGGCCATTTGCATGTCTTCTTTGGAGAAACATCTATCTGGGTACTTTTTAATTGAGTAATATTCCTATTCCTTGTCTGTACATATTTTGGTTATTAACCCTTGATTAGACATATGGTTATGTATAGCTTTTTAGTTTGATATAATACTATTTGTCTATTTTTTGCTTGCCTCCTGTGTATTTTGAAATATCTAAGAAATCACTATACTCACACAAGTGTCATAGAGCTTTTATACAATGTATTTAATTCATTAACGTACATTAGGTATTTTGTATCTGAGGTGAGATTATGGTCCAGTTTCATTCTTTTACATCCAGTTGTAAAAACGCTTTTTATTGAAGAGACTTTTCTTTATCCAGTGTGTTCTTGATAACCTTTGTCAAAAATCATCATAAATATGTAGGTTTTTCCCTAGGTTCATTATAGTGTCCCATTGTTAGTTGTGCCCTTTTTTAAACTTCTAATATTTTATAGACAGTATATATGATGTGTGCATGTGCATGTTTGTGTTCAAGTGTACACATTGTGGCGGTCAGAGGACAGCCTTGGGTGTTGGCTTTCAACTTTCATCTTGTCTGAAACAGTTTCTTGTTTCACTACTACACATGCCAGAAAGTCCATGAGCTTCTGGGGACTCTGTCTCCATTTCCCAACTTGCTGTACAAACATTAGAAACAAAGATGCATGCTACTTGCTGTATGCAGTATTATGTGAGTTCTTGGGATTTAAACTCAGGGCCTCAAGCTTATGCAGGAAGTACTTTTTCTCACTGAGTTACCTTTTAAGTCTATCTTTTTTGTAAGTGGCATTTAATACTATTTTGATTACTACAACTCTTTAATAACACGGACAGCACAATATATCAAGTTCATTCTTTTTGTTCAAGACTGCTTTGACTTTGTGCATTTCTGTCAGGGTTATTTTTTCACATCTGTATAAAGTGACAATAGGGGCTGTATCCCATATTAAGTTCCTCAGTGACATAAATCTATCAGTGACATTAGGTGCTAGAAATTATCTTAATAATAATTTTTCTAAGCCATGAATTGGAAAGCTCACTTTCCATTTATTGTGCTGTATATAATTTTCTGTATATAGATCGTTTACTTCTACGGTTCAATTTACTATAAGCATTCTATGTTTTATGGTGCTGTTATAAACAGAATTGTTTTGTGATTTTTTTCAGATATAGTCGGTTTATTAAAACATGATTTTTACATTGCATTCGTCCTCTCAAACTTTACTGAATTTACTTATTATATCTAACAGTGCTTAGAGGATTGTAGTGATATTTTGTGTTTTAACAAATAAAGCTTGCCCTGGTCTACAAGAGCTAGTTCCAGGGCAGGAACCAAAAACTACAGAGAAACCCTATCTCGAAAAATAAAAAAAAAAACAAAAAAACAAATAAAGCTTGCAAGAAGAGTACAGCGCTAAGTCACTAGAGGCCGGGAAATAGAGGCACACACCTTTAATCCCAGGACTCAAGAAACAGAGGCAGACAAATCTGAATGAGAAACAGAGCTCACATAAAAGTGATCCCACCACTTGGGATAACATACCTTTAATTCCAGCACTGGGAGTTAGAGACAGGAAGTGGGAAGGCTGGACAGAGAGAGGAATATAAGGCAGGAGGAGAGCATCTGATGTTTGGTGGAGACAGTTGCACTATGAGGAGACAGCCTGAAGGCAGGATAGACCCTTTGATCTAAACAATAGTGAAGGCTGGCCACACTGCTTCTCTGATCCTTTAGCTTTCACCCCCTAATATCTGACTCTGGGTTTTATTTATTAAGACCAACTAGAATTTGTGCTAGAGAGGATCTTTAAAGATTGCTGTAAGAACATGTCATAAGACAACAGAGGTTATTTTACTGCTTCCTTTCTAAGTTGGGTGACTTTTGTTTCTTTTTATTGCTTAATTTCTCTGGTTAATACTTGTTATTTTAATAGAAATAGTATAAAAAGGCACCCGTGTTATAGCCCTATATTTCCCCCACTCGGTAAGAACTGATTTAGCTATAAAATATGTAGCCTTTAGTTATCATGGAGGGATGGAGACTTTTTTGTATATATATTTTACAATCTGTCTGCATTCGTTTACGCAGTTATATTTTGGCGCCCAACGTGGGGCTATTTTGCCCCCGACTCAAGTGCATAGCCCACTAGCTAACACAGCACGCTCCTGGGTGCTGTTTTTTAGTTCGTGACACGGGCCCCAGTGCCGAGTCCGAGACACACTTGGCCACACAGGCCCAGTTTGTTTGCTTGGTTGGTTTTATTTGTTTATTCAAGACAGGGTTTCTCAGTAGTTTTAGAGCCTGTCCTGGAGCTAGCTCTTGTAGACCAGGCTGGCCTCAAACTCACAGAGATCAGCTTGCCTCTGCCTCCCGAATGCTGGGATTAAAGGCGGGTGCCACCACAGCCTGGCTGGGATGGAGACTTTTATCAAATAGTTTTTCTTCATCATTTACTGCTCATAAGTTCCATTCACTGAGCTACAAATCACACTTGATCAAGGTGTACAGTCATTTAGCTATGCTATTGGATCCAGTTTACAAGAGGGAGTGAGAGATGGGGAGGAGGAGGTGGAAGGAGGAGAGGAAGAGGGAGAGAGAATAGGCCACATGTGTTTAAGTGCTAATGGTAGAGGCCAGAAGAGAGGGTATCAAATCCCTGGAGCTAGAGTTAAAAATGGTTATGAGTAGCTAAATGTGGTTGCTGGCAACTGCATTTGAGTCCTCTGGAAGAGCAGGAAGCACTTATAACTACAAAGCCAAGATTCCAACCCAACCAATCAGTTTTATATTTTAACGTTACTAATTAGCACTATTTGTATTCCACTTAAAAAACTGATTGTAGTATTTTTTTTATAGAGCACATGTAGCATGTACTAGAGTCTCTCAAAATTTTGTCTGGAAAAAAATGTATCTCTATTTTTGAAAAAGCAGGACTACTAAGGACAGGGGTTATGGGACCTATATACAAGACTCAGCTTTTAAAATATCTTTCAAGTTCTGATTATACTATGTCTTGGTATAGATTTCTCCAGATTTATATTATTTAATACCTTGGCCATGATTTGTTATTTCTTTCCCTAAACTTGGGAACTTTTCTGCCATTATTTCCTTAAAATGTTTTCTGTCCCTTTCTTTCTGTCTTCAGACACACCAATAATTTATAGATCTTTTATTTGATGGTGTCCCTTAAATCCCTCAGGCCACTTTCAGTATTTGTCATTTCTTCTCCTTGATCTAGTTTGCTACAGAATGCCTAAACTTATGTTCAGACTTGTCTTGGAAAGAAAAATCCAATAAAAAGTGGGTACTTTGAATGCCTACCTAAAGCCCTTCCCCATGGTCTACACCAGTGGTTCTCAACTTTCCTAATACTGGGTACCCTTTAATACAGTTCCTCATGTTGTGGTGACCCCCCCCAACAATAAAATTAGTTTGTTACTATTTTGTAACTGTGCTATGAATCATAATGTAAATATGTGATATTCAGGACATTGATCTATGACCCTATAGGTTGAAAACTGTAGCCTAGAGACTTTCAGGAATTTGGAATCCATCAACTCCCAGAGGTACGTAACTGAGAAGGCCCTTCCTTTGGGAGGGTGCAGTAGAAGCATTGAGATTCAATGTAGAGATGAACTCATTCCAGAGGCATTTAGGACCTGACTTAGTCTCAAGAACAAAGAAGGGGAGAGACCCACGAAGTGCAAACTCTTATTAATTCTACAATACATACTAGATCTGAGACCAATCCAGTACCCTCATTACCTTTCTTTATATTAATCTGTTTTTAATATAAAAATTCATATGAAATTCGAGTGTCGGGGCTGGAGAGATGGCTCAGAGCTTAAGAGCACTGGCTGCTCTTCTAGAGGTCCTGAGTTCAATTCCCAGCAACCACATGGTGGCTCACAACCATCTGTAATGAGATCTGGTGCTGTCTTCTGACCTGTAGGCATACATGTGGACAAAACACTGTTTACATAATACATAAATCTTTAAAAAGATAAAAGAAAGAAATTCGAATGTCAGTGTTCACAAATGAAGTTTTCTCAGCATCTGAACATACTTGTTCAGCTACCTGTTACCTGAAGTTATTATTAAAGTTATTATCTGTAATCCTACAACAGCAGACCTAGGTACTTACAACAGACCACTGGCTCACAGAGATTATTCAACTCTTTATAGAAACACTATTCCACATTAGTAAGAGATGAGAATTAATTAGAGAATTACATAATCTCTAACTAGACATGTTTCAGAATTCACATTTTTGCTTTAACCTGGCTCACAGAAAAATGAAAAGATCTTATGTAAACAGTACTTGCATATTTCAGGAGCTTAGAGAAACAAAAGAATGGTGTTTCTCAAAAGTAATTTATTTGCCTGAATTATTAGGCTTGTTCACTTCCTAGCAGACTTTATTATTTCTAAAATGGATTCAACTAAGAACACACATTCTCTATATTGAACATAAATAAGGCATAAATAATTTTTAAAAAAGTTACTCAATGGGGACAAATAGATTTTTTTCCACAGTACTCACCTTTGGAAGAACAGGTTTTGATCTGAAGTTTTTGTTTCGTCTATAAAGATAAAACATTCATTAAAAGAAAAAGAAACTACAATAAAAATGAGTGATTTTCAGAGCTCTCTCGTGCAATTAAATAACTCATTTGGGAAATGTGGGCCCTCTGTACAAAAACATTATCTGACTGAATCAAGCAGGTACCGTTGAGAAAAAAGTAAGCAAGGACAAGACAAGGAGGAAATACCAGCTTTGTAACTTAGGAATAAGCAGAGTTAAGCCTGAAGGTTAGTGATATGGTGCTGTAATTTCTAAGCTCTAAGCTTCACTTTCTTGTATGTAGGCAGGCTTCTATTTTCCAGCACCTACTAAGATTGATTGATTTCTACCATTAAAAGATTTTTAAGATACGCCTAGATTTCATAAAGGGTTAAAAGTATACATTTCATAAAACAATCTTTCATTTCAGAAATTAAATTTTTCTATTCATTTTTCGTATTCATCAACAAAAATTAACTTTTATTATGGTTTCAGAAAATGAACAAATACAGTTCAGTGCTTAGAACATTGGCTAAGTTAAAAGGACTACCATGAATCTAAAGTTTTTCACCTACCAAAGTATAACTTCTCTAAACGTTAGGTATACTACAATAGACTATAAAGCATACATGGTTACATGGTTATCTCCATGTCCAAAACAATCCTTCATCAGGTAATGAAAAATAAGAATTATATGACACTACACATGCATATGCATGAGATTTCTCTGTCCAAGTGCTAAGTCTAAGGAATAATAATTGTAGCAATGACAGGGAATCCTAAAAAGATCTAAATTTTTTCTCTACAAGAAAATAACAATAATCATTCTCTGTAATTAATATGTTTAACTTTTTGGGGTTGTGCTAGTGAATAGGGAAAACCGAAACAGAAAATAAAGCAATGTTATGCATTAGACTCACAGTTTTTAAAACTAAGTACATTTCAAACTTTTTAAATCAAAATTATACCCATGAATATAATACTTCATCTTTCATTATTCGTTTTGTAAGAAAATTTATTAAAATACTCCTTTACAAAATCTATTACTAATAATACTGACGTGAGAATTCCATGAGCTCTTTCCAGGAGTTTGCTGCTTGCTGAATTAGCAAATATCCCATCTTTATCAAGCAAGGAAGTGTTGCTAGTTGGTAGTCTGCTTTGGCGAATGCCAGTTCTGACATTCCAAGAAATATCAAATGTATCACTGTGGAAAAAAATGGTATAACTTGCTTAATTGCCTCCATATTATTATATTGGTATAAAAATTACATTATAGATATGAATCATTAAAAGATTTCAATGTTAAGCAACATAAAATGGCTTTTTTACAATGGCTGCCAATCAAGTGGGACTTCTCTGTCACTCAGAAAAAATTTTACTAGATTCTATGCAAATGTACAGGTAGATGAATACATCATATAAGTGACATCATTAACATGCTGTTAAACATAAGTATATATTTTATTACATAATGGGATCTATCATGCCTTTCTTTTTTAGAACATTCAAAAGCTTCCACTGGGATTTATAACATTAACAGGCCACATGATTCTATGGTTTATCTAGTTTCTTCCTGAGACATCTTATTCATAAACAAAATGTTACTGACACATCAACCAAAAATATTGAGCTTTGGCTACAGACTGAGCACTATCATCAGCACTAGGGGCAGAGGAATGAACACACAATTATCAGTAATTATAGCACAATACTTAACAAAGGGCTTTCCAGGTAAAGGTATATATTTAAATCACTTCAGAAGCCCATGAAAATATAAATAATATTTTAAAAGAATTAACACTTAAGAAAAGAGAATAAGAGCAATAGTGATGTGTCCTTACAATATGGAAGTCACATTTCTTGGGCTTTGACTGTTCTTTCTTTACATGGACAAGGGGTGAAAGAGAAAGTCTGTAATATGAACAGCAGTATACATAGCTGAGGACAGTAATATTATACAGAAATATAGAATAATATTGAAAATAGAGGTACTCAGTCTTTTTGTTTTTGTTTTTGTTTTGGCTTTTGAAGACAGGTTTTCTCTGTAGCTTTGAAGCCTGTCCTCGAACTCACAGATATCTGCCTGCCTCTGTCTCCCAAGTGCTGGGATTAAGGATGTGCACCACCACCGCCATGATAGTACTCAGTCTTTTTATCTAAGTTCTCCAAGAATGGGAACAGCAAAGACTATATAATCCAAGTAGTCAGTAGGAAAAAATTATAGGGTAAAATTTAGCCAACGCAATGCCGAGAAAAATTCTCCAAAGACCTCGAAAGTATGGTACTCAACTTCATTTGGAAAAGGAAAATACCCAGCATAGCCAAAACAATCTTATACAATAAAAGAACTTCTGGAGGCATCACAATCCCTGATTTCAAACTCTACTACAGAGCTACAGTACTGAAAACAGCCTGGTATAAGAACAGACAGGAGGACCAATGGAATAAAAGACCCAGATATCAATCCACTCATCTTCAAACACCTGATTTTTGATAAAGAAGCAAAAAATATCAAAAAAAATATCAAATAGGAAAAAAAAGCATATTTAACAAGTGGTGCTGGCATAACTGGATATCAACATGTAGAAAAATGAAAATAGACCCATTATCTATCACCGTGCACAAAACTCAAGTTCAAATGGATCAAAGACCTCAACATAAAGCCAGCCACACTGAACCTTATAGAAGAGAAAGTGGGAAGTACACTTGAATGCAGCACAGACACTGAGAGAAACAATTAATAAATGGGACGTCCTGAAAATGAAAAGCTTCTGTAAAGCAAAGGACAGGGTCAACAAGACAAAACGACAGCCTACAGAATGGGAAAAGATCTTCACAACCTCACATCAGACAGAGGTCTGGTCTCCAAAATAAACAAAGAACTCAAGAAATTGGACACCAAAGGAACATATAATCCAATAAAAAAAATGGAGTACAGCCCTAAACAGAGAAGTCTCTACAGAGGAGTCTAAAATGGCTGACAGACACTTAAGGAAATGCCCAACATCCTTAGCCATCAGAGAAATGCAAATCAAAACAACTCTGAGATTCCATCTTACACCTGAAAGAATGGCCAAGATCAAAAACACTGATGACAACTTATGCTGGAGAGGTTGTGGGGTAAATTTCTGCATTGCTGGTGGGATGCAAGCTGGTATAACCCCTTTGGATGTCAGTGTGGCGATTTCTCAGAAAATTAGGAAACAACCTTCTTCAAGACCCAGTAATACCACTTTTGGGTATATATCCAAAGCATGCTCAATTGTGCCACAAGGACATGTGCTCAACTATGTTCATAGCAGCTTTGGTTGTCATAGCCACAACCTGGAAACAGCATAAATGCCTCTCGACCGAAGAATGGATAAGGAAAATGTGGTACATTTATACCATGGAGTACTACACAGCAGAAAAAAAATAACAACAGCTTGAATTTTGCAGGAAAATGGATGGAGCTAGAAAACATTATTTTGAGTGAGCGAACCCAGACCCAGAAAGACAGTTATCACATGTACTCACTCATAGGTGGTTTTTAAACATAAAGCAAAGAAAACCAGCCTACAAGCCAGAATCCCAGAGAATTTAGACAACAATGAGTACACTAAGAGAGACTCACAGAGATATAAGCTACATGGGAAGTAGAAAGTATAAAAAGACAAGATCTTCTGAGTAAATTGGGAGCATGGGGACCTTGGGGGAGGGCTGTAGGGGAGAGGGGAGAGTTAAGGGAGGGGGACCGAGAAAAATGTAGTGCTCAATAAATAGCAATATAAAAAATTTAGCCAACTGAAAGGGAACACAATGATGTTTCAGGAAGTGACTTTACACATCAAAACAGACACTGTTTTTCAATCTTAAACATGAATAGTTGATCAATACTAGACATTTAAAAAAAAAAGCCCTTGGCATGAAAAAGAAATCAAAACAGAAAATAACTTCAAGAATACCAGGTATGCTGTTCCCAGCTCTCTGGAGGCCGGGGCAGTTGGATCTCTATGAGTTTGAGGACATCCTGGTATAGAAGAGATTATGTTTCAAAAACCAAAACAAGGAACAAGAACAAACAAACACAAAAAACCTTAGAAGAAAATGGTCTAGGCATGAGGGGAAGGGGCTACGAGTAATATTCTTAAGAGAAAGGAAAGAATACTGAGGGGGCTGTAGAGATGGCTCAGTGGTTAAAAGCATTTCCTGCTCTTCCAAAGGTTCTGAGTTCAATTCCCAGCAACCACATGGTGGCTCACAACCATCTGTAATGAGTTCTGGTGGGTGCCCTCTTATGGCCTGCAGGCATACATGTAGACAGAATATTGTATACAGAATAAATAAATAAATATTTAAAAAATACTGAGAAAGCAAACTTGAAACTTTTGAAATTAAGTACATCAATAATATATGAATATGCAGAATATATTCATTCATTAGTTTAAGATAAAGACTTGGCAATTATTCTATTACTGCACATCCAACATTAAAAAAACAAGCTAAAATTCTTATATGGTTTATATTAAGTATGAGGAGATTAATAAGCAACAGGAAAACATTTTCTAGGTCATATAGCCAGGTGAAGAAAAAAACTTATAAAATATGGTAAGCTTTTAAAATAGAGTAGTTAGAGAAGGTCTCATGGATAAAGCTCAGCTTTAATAATAATGTCAGTTGTGGTGCTGCAGGCCTGCAATCCTAAGACTGAGAAAGGTGAGACAAGAGGTTCAAGAACTACAGATCAGGTACAGTTACACTGAGGAGCTCAAAAACAGCCTCTGCAGTTAGATAGGAAGAGTGTCATTTGACAAATAAGATCTTAATTAATAAAATAGCGATTCGAAAAAAATGAAGTCATTACCTGGTTAGAGAGAACAAACACAAAATCCCTGAAATGGGCGTGTTATTGATGAGTTTAAGATACAGTGATAAAGAGATCATGATATATGTGCCTTTTTAGAAAGCTAAAGGATTTTGGCTTTCACTTGAATGAGTAAGAATATATCATGATTTTAACTAAAATATTAACATAATTCATTTTATGTATAAAAATAATCATCTGGTTTTGGACATTGAAGACAAGGCCTAATTAATTTAGAATAATTCATGCAAAATATGACAGCATGAAATGATGTGATGGAAGTAGTTATGATAAAAATTCCCAGGTATCATTTGAGGGCAAAGTTGACAAGGCTTGATGGCATAACAAATGTACACTGTATGAGAAAGAATTATAAATCACTCTAAGATATATTTAAACCAGTAATAGCAGACTTACAGGTGAAGAAATGAGAGATGAACAAAACCAAAAAGAGATAATATAAAAGAGAAGATCAAAGAGGTCCAATGTTTTAGTAAAGACTGTATCGAGTACCCACACCTGAAGAGTGGAAGTATCATGGAAAAGGCTAAATAACCAACAATTTAAGAAGTTAAAAGCATTTAATTCAAGCTCATTAAGTATCACTGTGATGCCAAACCTTACAATAAAGGTCTATATTTCAGTTACATAAGAGACTCAAGGCCTGTCTGAGCTACAGTATGAGTTGAATATCAGCTGGAGCAACTTAATATGATCCTACCTAAAACAAAAAAAAAAAAAGAGGGCTAGGACTGGAGACAGTGCTCCGTGTAGAGTGGTGGCCTGGCATGAACAAGATTCTAAATTCAACCTCTAGTACTGGAGGAGAGGAAAAGTTATGGGAAAGAATAATATTACCCATCTGATGGCAGTCAGGGAGTACCAGATATGTTGTTTCCCCATATGAAATAACAATTGTACTAGTGAAACATACTCTTACAACACTATAAGTAATCTACCCCTTTCTCCACAAAGAATATATCCTAAGATCTCCACATCTGAAAAGAACAGTACCTAACTCCACCCTGTCTATGCTTACTTCATACATATAAATTCTGTGGTAGTCTGAATAACAATGGTCCCCACTGGCACATATATGTGAATGCTTGGCTCTCGGGGAGTGGCACTACTTGAGAATGAGTCGAGGTGTGGCCTTGTAGGAGAGGTGTGTTACTGGGCATAGGCTTTGAGGTTTCAAAAACAAGGCAAGACCAAGGGCTTTCTCTCTTCCTGTTCCCTATAGATCCAGATATAGAACTCAAAGATAATTCTCAAGCAACAATTCAGCCATGCTTCATGCCATGAAAAAAATGAACTAAACCCTGAAACTGTAAGCAAGCCCCAATTAATTGCTCGGCACACTTTTAACCAAGGCACTCGGAAGGCACAGGCAGGGGATCTCGGTGAGTATGAGGCCAGCCTGGTCTACAGAGCAAGTTCCAGGACAGTCAAAGGTACACACAGAGAAACCCTAACTTGGGGGGGAAAAAAGTTGTGGTCATGGTGTTTCCTCAAAGCAACAGAACATTAAGACAAATACCTATGATAACTTTCATTTCTAAATTAATCATGGTAAGTAATTAACAATATCAACAACAATATTAACAATAAAATACAACACTGGTAAGAAACAACATTCATAAAAGCAATGTCATCATAATATAAAGAATAGCACATAATTTAAAATATGGGAATTTGTGGGGCTGGAGAGATGGCTTAGGTTAAGAGCACTTATTGCTCTTCCAGAGGTTCTGAGTTCAGTTCCCAGCAATCACATGGTGGAGATCTGGTATGCTATTTTAGCATGCACGCATACACACACACACACACAAAAAAAAAAAAAACTTTTTAAAAAATGAGATTTTGCCTGGTCTACAAGAGCTAGTTCCAGGACAGGCTCCAAAAACCACAGAGAAACCCTGTCTCGAAAAACCAAAAAAAAAAAAAAAAAGAGAGAGAAAGAGAGAGATTTTATTTTTTTAGAATTTCCTATTTAGTTTTGAGGCCAGTCATCCATGAATAAATTAAAATGTAGAAAGCAAAGCAAAATGAAAACAACTACATTTTGGAAATCTGAGGTCTATTGATAGCTTGTAACTTCCAGGGAAAGGTTTCTCTGCTAAATCTCAGCTAAGTCTGGTCATATCATCTCTTGGAACAGCAACAGCTATTTAACCTATACCAAAAGTGGTAGGAGAGAATGGTGTGCATCTTCTTGGAATAGCTTCCACACAACTCATAGTCAACATGGGCATAAAGAACTTTCTCCTTCATATGTCAGAGATTTATGTGCTAATAAATGCAGGAAAAACAAACAGGTGGTGATCACTCATATTTTCTACATTGTTGCAAATCTTCTTCCCCTCCACTTGAATAACCTCAGTGGACTTAAAAGTAATCACCATTTTCTATTTCCAACCTTCAACTTTCTCCTGTTCTGATTTGGAGAACCAGGTAATAGCAGCAATTCACATATGTGCATACAAAGGAAAATAACTGCATGTGTCCATGGAAAGGGATCATAAAACAGCTGTGATGTTCTTAACATACCTTAAGCTGATCTTGGGCACAGAAAGAGTCTACAGTTGAAAAAAAAAAAAAAAACAAAAAAAAAAAAAAACAAGCAAACAGAAAAAGCAAGAAGAAAACAAACCAAGTCAAACAAAAACGACACAAGCAAAGGAAGATGATCTGATTTCTATTTACAATATTATTGCATTCAAATGGCCACCACCAATCAAAAAAATGAAACATCATAATCACACAAAAAAACATACACTTACTCAGAACTGTAGTCTCAATACTTCAGAGTTAGAGGATCAGAAATTCAAGATCATCCCTGGCTATATAGCAAGCTCTAGACCAGCCTATACTATACGAGACACATTTCAAACAAACCTCCAAGCAAATGGAATAGCAATCCCAGGGTAGGACTAGCAAGCTAGGGGGCACTTACTGTCAAGCCTGATTATATCAGTTTGATATCTGGCTCACACATGGGTGAAGGAAAGAACCTGGTCCCCTTCTCGTCCCCTAAGTTCTCTGACACATACTATGCACTTTCTCCATCCCAACAAACACAAAGTCCACAACTATTATAAAAACTGGAAGTCATAGCACAGGTCTGTAACCCCAATTCTCCTATGTTAAGACACAAGGTGGAAACACAACAATCTCCAGAAGCTTGTGAGCCAGCTATCCTGATGTAGTAGTGAACAACAAAGAGACCGAGGCACCTCAAACAAGGTAAAACACAAGAACACATGCCACACATGTGCCATGACATATGTCCCTTCACCCTTACACACACAAACACATCCCAACAAAAACATAAATCTGAGTAAGTGTGGTGGTGGCACACACCTATAATCCCAACACTCAAACTGAGGCAGGAAAATTAAAAGATGAACGGCTGCCAGGCTGCACAGCAATATCCAAAATTATCAGTAAGATTGTTATTCAGCTCATATTTCCTTATAAACATATTTATACCAAACTTACTGTTGATTTTTTTCATTTAGAGTATTCATGCCCTGAAGATCAGAAAGAGGTGTTCTTGGGTTTTTACGGGTTATACCTAACAAAAAAAAAAAAAAAAAGGAGAAAATTTCAAACCAGTGTACTTTCAAATTACTAAAGGAAAATATTTTCTAAAGACAAATAAGAATAAACTTAGTTTTTGAGTAAATGTCAGTTACTAGGAAAAGTTTTGTAACTATCAAAACCACAATTTGATTAAATGAACCCAAATAGGAAATTTAGAGTAAATTCTTAATTATTTCATTTAAGCATTAACATTAGGAAATATAGAAGCAAATGGGCTGAAGACTAAAAACACACAAAATTTACAAAACTGGAAACACTTCTAACCTGACTCCTTTGTATCATTTTTTGGCAACAAATACACTGCTGATATGTAAACATAAACTTTAGAGATCTATTGATCTTACAAATAAAGACACTAGAGATCAAATAATGTTTCTTTATGAATCTTGTGAATATTTAACAAGAGAATTTTCTTATAGGTCCTGTATATACAAGGTCAATTTCATTACACACACACACACACATACACACACACACACACATTTAAGATACACTAGAAAGGAAGAAATCACACATCTTTTTAAAAAATAAGTCATACAGAGAAAATCCTAAAGAATATACAAAAATATTAAATCTAATAATGCAAAAATACAGGAAATTAATCGATGTGTAGAAATCAATTCTATTTCTGCACAACTGTAATAAATGATCAAAAATCCATTCATAAAATCAAAATAATAATATAGAACTAAGAAAGAAATCAGGAGTCAAATCAATAGAATGATATACATAGTCATGATAGGGCAGTATACTTTTAAGATTTTTTCTCTTCAAAATAATCTACGTGGATAAATCTTTGATTATATTTTGCTTGTAAATACATTATTGGATAGCAGAATTATAAACCATTAAAGATGTTGTTTCCCAGGCTGTGGCATGGTTTTTGCTCTCTTAATGTTATTTGAAAAGCACTAAGTTCTCAATTTAGAAAACCCTAACTTACCTTTTTTTTTCTACCTTTAGCTCATGTTTTTTTATCCTAAGAAATCTTTGCTTGTTTTCTTTTTTCCTAGTTTTTCTGACAAATTTAGTGGCTTTGATCCTTAAATCAGCATGACTCATTTCAAGGTAATTTTTTTTATGACAAAAGAGTATTCTTAAGGGCTGGAGAGATGGCTCAGAGCACTGGCTATTCTTACAGAGGTCCTGAGTTCAGTTCCTAGCAACCACATGGTAGCTCATAACTATCTATAACTAGATCTGGTGCCCTCTTCTGGTGTGTGTGCAGGCACGCAGGCTAAATAATTAAAAAAAAAAGTATTCTTAAAATAAATGGATAACAAGTTGTTCAACGCCATTGGTTTGTTGAAAATCCTTTACTCTATTCAACTATCTCAGCACCTTGGTAGAAAACAACTATATCACACACACACACACACACACACACACACACCAAATGGATCTATTTCTGTACTTTTGATTTGGTTCAGATTTCCTTTCTTCCCTCCTCTGCTCTTTTCGTTCCATTTCCCTCCCTTTCTGCAACACCATGTACTGAACCAAGGGCTTTGAGCCTGATACACAAGTCCCTACTACTGAGCCACTGCCCCAACCCCAAGTTCTCAACACACACTTTTTTTTAACTTTTGAGAAAAGTTCTCACTAAGCTACTCAGGCTGGTTTTTTAAACTCTTCCTATGCCTGACTCATAGGAATGTAAGATTTTAAGTTGGCTACAAGGTCCATTCACCTCAGTTTCCAAAATACAGACAATTAGGAGTTGCTTATCTGGGTAGTTCTAAATCAGGTCTCTAATTAGGTTGTACTCAAGCTGCCTAGTAAGACTGTAGGCATCCTGGGACTAGAATGAAGATCCACTTTCAGGTCATTCAGACAAGCTGCTAAGGAAGCCTAGTTCCTTATTACCTGTTGGCTGAAGTTCTGCTGGGACTCTGAATGGTGCTGCTCACAAAAGTGGCTTCTCTGACAGTGATGTGAAAACTAACAAAGGTACATCAAAAATAGGAATAGTAATCAGAAGGGACACAACTGCCATGTACTTCTTGCACACAGACGCACTCTTGTAAAATGTGGGAGTGGACTGGCTGCCTCAAATCCCATACTGGCATTTATAAACTTCATTTTCTAGAAGTATTAGAAATATCATAATTTTGTGTATTGATTAGGTATCCTATGAGATTGTTAAGTTCACATTTAATCCTAAGACAATGTTTTAGATTTTTACCTTTCTCTACTAACAGTCATGTGAACTAATTCCTCCTTTGTTGTTGTACTACTGTGCCTATGACCCTGAAGTGGCTACCAGAAAATGTCTTTACCTGGGTTCTAAGTAAAGTCTGCTCTAAGATTTTTTTTAAAAAAATACAACCTTTTATAAATTGGGGCCACTGTTTCCCACTCCTTAGCTGCCAAGTTTTGAAGAAAAATGGGTACAGAAGTATGGCAGACTTTTTCTTCATCTACTGAAATGATCACAGTACTTTTTTTTTTCTTTTTTTGTAGATGGTTAACACAGTGAGTTAACTTAACATGTTTTCGATCTTGGCTATCTCCCTAAGGCCAATGCATTAGAAATCTGACTCTCAGTTTAGCCTAAGATGGTAGAACTTTTTAAAGTGCTTGAACCTGGTGGTAGTTATTTGGATTATTAATAATGCATGCACAACAGTGATCCTGGGTTTCCAGTCTCTTCTTCTCCTTGCTTCCTAGCCTTGAAGTAAGTTTTGTTCTACTACCTGCTAATCTTACAATATGTTGCCTTATCTAAAGCAACAGCATAAACATATTATAGACTATTATTTACTTTCTGTATCACTGATTTTTAGCTCTTGGTATCATTTGCTTGCTTTTCCTTTTTAAAGATCTAACATGTCCATCTTTCTAGACTCTTAAGGTGAAAGGTTTAATCATTATTTTAGTGCACTTTTTCTTAATGTGAAAATTTAAGGGCTAGAGAGATCTCACTGGTTAAGAGCACTTAACCATTCTTCCAGAGGACTGGGTTCAGCACACAACAAGCAGTTCATAAAAACCTGTAACTCCAGCTCCAAGGGATCTGACATAAAACCCTTCTGACTTCCAAAATCACCTGTATGTATGTGGTATACACAAACACACACACATACACCCCAAAATAAAAAGGAATAATTTTTTAAAAGGAAGAATTTAAAGCTACTTTTTTTCTTTATAAACACTTTAAGTGCATTCCAGACATGTAGTGTGCTGTAATTATGTAAGATTAGTACCAAAATATTTTAAAGCTGCATCAGAATATAATTGTAGTGGAAAACAGAATACATACCTAAAAAAACTGAAAGCATCAATATGCAGAAATTAGGAAACTGCTAATGCACAATTTCTCCATGCAGCCTAAGCTGAAATGGGACACATAAACTACAATATGGTCCAATCTACAGATTCCAGGCTCAATCATAAAGAAAAGCAAATGACCTATATGCAACTACTTTAAAATTAAGTAAAGTTCATTTAAGCTGTCCTCAAAAATTTGTAGACTGTTTTCAAAGGTTAAGAATACCAAAATGAACAATTAGAATAAGGACTGTGTATCTTTAGAAATAATAACAATAGCTGGTGGAAGCCCAGTGCACTGGTGCAGACCCCAACAGCCTGCCAGCAGGTGAAAGACTTCCAGGCAGGCTACCCCACTACTACTGCCACCCACTGGACTCCGTTTCTACAAGATGTACTCCGCCACACAATCACACCTACCCCGGTTCCCCCTACCCCCAGCAAACACTTATCATATAGGACAAAACAGCAGCCTACAGAATAGGGAAAAAAAATCTTCATCAACCCCACATCGGACAGAGGGGGTTGACCTCCAAAATATATAGAGAACTCAAGAAACTAGACATCAAAATACCAAATAATTCAATTTAAAAATGGGGTACAAATCTCAACAGTGAATTCTCAAAAGAAAAATTTCAAATGGCCAAGATACACTTAAAGAATTGTTCGACATCTTTATAGTCATCAGGAAAATGCAAATCAAAATGACTATGAGATACCATCTTACACCTGTCAGAATGGCTAAGATCAAAAACACTGATAACAGCTTGTGTTGAAGAGGCCATGGAATAAAGGGAACAATCCTCCACTGCTGGTGGAAGAACGAAATTGTACAACCACTTTGGATGGAAATCAGTACGGTGGTCTCTCAGAAAAATGGGAATCAATCTACCTCAAGACTAAGCAATACCATTCTTGGGCATATACCCAAAGGATGTTCAATCATACTACAAAGACACATGCTCAATTATGTTGCTAACAGAACTATTCGGAATAGCCAAGACCTGGAAACAACCTAGATGCCCCTCAACTCAAGAACAGATAAGGAAAATGTGGTACATTTACACAACTGAGTATTACTCAGCTATAAAAAACATTGACCTCCTGAAATTTGCAGGTAAATTGATAGAACTAGAAAAAAAAATCATCCTGAGTAAGGTAACCCACAGCCAGAAAGACAGACATGGTATGTACTCACTCCTAAGTGGATATTAGGAATATAATACAGGATACCTACAATTCACAGCCCCAGAGAGGTTAGATAGCAAAGAAGGATGCATGGATTTCCCTGAGAAGGGGAAATAGAAGAGAAGTCCTTGATAAAGTGGAGGAGGGAAAAGAAGTGGGAGAATGGGAACTTGAAGGAGCAGGCTGTGCCAGCTAGGTTCTGGACAGAGTGGGAGAGTAAAGAAAGAGATGTTTTGATAGGGGAGTTGTTGCGGGAGGTCCTCCCACTCCTCCAGCCTATCACCGCTGAGATACCAGCCCATTGGGGCGTGGTCTCTCTCCCTTTAAAAAAGCGGCCACTTCCCTCTCCTCTCTCTCTCTTCACTTCCTGCTCCGCCCGCGATTAGACTCCTTTCCTGGTTGCGTAGAGGGCTGTTGCCTGGGACAGTGATCTGTAAGTATTTTCCCCTTTAAATAAATACCACCCTATTAATCATAACCCCAAATTGGTGTGGCATTGTTTGTGACTTACGCCTTCAGGGAGTGGCATTTCAGGGTCAGGAAGAAACCTGGTGCCAGGGAAACTCCTAGGAATCCAAAGATGACCCCAGCAAAGGCTTCTAGCAATAGTGGAGAGGGTGACTAAATTGGCCTTCTCCTATGAGCAGATTGGTGACTACCCTAATTGTCATCAGAGAGCCTTTATCCAATATTGCAGAGATCCTCAGCCAAGCACTGGGAGGAACTCTTCAGAGTCTTCCTGAAGAAAGGGAGGGGTGACTGTACTACCTAGGGAGTTCAAGGTCATGATGGGGTAACCACAGAGACAGGACTCTGAAACATTGGAAGTCTGCATGGGACCAACCTAGGCCCTCTGCTTATGTGACAGTTGTGTAGCTTGGTCTGTTTATAGGGCTCCTGGCAGTGATATCATGACCTTTCCCTGGCATTTAGCTGGCTTTTGAGAATCTGTTCCCCATGCTGGATTACACTGACCAGACTTGATGCAGGGGGAAGAGCTCACTACTAGGTGCTACCTCAACTTGATGTGCCATGCTTTGTGCAAGCCCATGGGAGGCCTGCCCCTTTCTGAATGGAGGCAGAGAAGAAGCAGATGGGGAGAAGGGTATACTACAGTGGGAGGAAGACTAGACAGCTGGAGAGGGAGAGAGAGGAAACTGTGGATGGTATGTAAAATAAATAAAAGTTAAATAAAATAAATAAAAAAAAAAGAAATAATAGGGCTGGAGAGATGGCTCAGAGGTTAAGAGCATTGCCTCCTCTTCCAAAGGTCCTGAGTTCAATTCCCAGCAACCACATGGTGGCTCACAACCATCTGTAATGGGATCTGGTGCCCTCTTCTGGCCTGCAGTCATACACACAGATAGAATATTGTATACATAATAAATAAATATTTTTTTAAAAAAAAGAAATAATAACAATAGTTAGAAATAAATTCTAAAGACACCTCTTTAAAATGACTTACTTTCTTCCTACAAGAAAAAAATTACAATTTTTTTTCAAAATACATTATACATTTTTTATACCAATACAGTGAAAAAAAATAACTCACCATATTTATTTTTAACACTTCTACTTAATCTTTTATTAAGTAAAATGTTATGGAATTTCAACTAGAAAGCTAATAAAAGTAGTAACCTAAACCTGTGATAATTTATTAGATGACCAAAGCATATTTTGAATAAATTTGGTCCACACAAATAACTTAGTTTTCTGAAGAACCCATTTACTATCACAATAGGAGTAAGCCCAATTATTGTAACCACACGCCAGATAAAAGAACCTATTTTCATGCAGACTTACAAAGACCAAAGGAAGAAATGGAGATCAAGTGCATCTTTTACATCAATTTTAAACAATAAATAGAAATGCATTCTGATTCTATTATTCTTTATGCTAAACAGTAATGTGGTGACTTCTCTTATATCAGACATAGAAAGTCTCAATCAAGAGCTGTAATCAGCTTAAATGGATGCTCCAGAGATTCGAAATTATAACATTGCTGATGCAGGACTCAAGTGTAAGCAAGTACAAAATTTAGCAAGATATGAAAAAACTTTGGAAAGTGTTGAATAACATTATTACTGTGATAATTTCATGAGTTTCTATATATGTAAGATTTACCAAATTGTTCTCTTATATTTAAGTGTAATTATATTTCAGTAAAACTTTCAAAAAGCAAAAAGGAAAAAAGTACTGTTCATTTTTATGATATAAATCTTGAAAGACAAAAATAGAAACCAATTCAGTGATGGCAACCTAGATAATTAACTATGTGGTGACCATCATAGCAAACAGTTACCCACATTAAAGAACAGGCATATCACCGATTTCAAGAGAAAAATTAGAGTCCAAGTAAAGGATTGTGAAGATCATGTTGCCTATACAATCTCCATGCCACCTTCATAAATGCTCTTGATTTCCATTTCCAAATAGATGTGACAACACTGGGTTTGAGGATTTGCAGCCTTACTGTACTTCTCTTCCTTGCACCTCTGCAGAATCTCTAAGCTCCTCTGGTGGACTGGGTGTTGGAGAAAGCTAAAACTATCCATACTTTTCAAAATTGCACATGGCGTTGTATCATCATGTCCTTAAGAAGCAAAACAAAACAAAACAAAAAAATGGAGAAAAGAAAAGACATGTGAGCCCAAACCAATTAAGAGAATAAAAGACAATGCTGCCAACTCTCTTAATATATTGTAAAATATCAATAATGTGAACAATTTTACCCAATTAACAAATAATAGGAAAAAACAAATATTCTTTTCAAATATTCAAAATGTCTATTTTATTAATCAAAGTATTCTGAGCTAATGCCATATCAAAAACTCTAAGAACATTTCAAACAATTTGTATCATTTGGTGGTTCTTCAAAAACTATTCCTTTCTGAAATATCTTTAGTATATAGTTGGCAACATTGATAGAATCCGAGAGAAATTATACCTGAACAATTTACCATAACATTTAACATTTCCTTTACAAATCTGGCAATCAACCACACTTGAAGGTATTCTGTCAAGTGTGTGGTAAGTGTAAGGAGTAAAGCTCCAAAGAACAGAAACCCGAATAGCACTTTTGTATTTATAAATCTGAAGAAATAGTTGGAGAATATTTATCTCACCACTGGAAAAGAAGATAAAAGTGAATGCGGGAAAGAGAGACAGAGATAAGTAAAGACCAAAGCCCCAAATAAGTGCTAACCAGTGAATCATTCTAGCAATAAGACATTGAGGGATGTGGGGAGGGCAGCTTCAATACCACAAATATTAGCAAAAAATTTCTTTAAGATAGAATACAGAGTTCCCATTTTTTCAGAAAAGATGGACTCTCAGTGTCATTCACTTAGTGATTACCTTAAGATTTAAGGAATAATGATTACATTTAACAATTTTGCCTTTGTAAATGAAAAATATATAATTTAGGGACAAATTAAGTGAAATATAATGAATTGAAGGTCCATTAGTATACTTTATTATATGCCTAGGAATGGGATTCAATGTTATAACTTACAAATAAATAGTTCTCAAGATAGTCATTTTAAAGCTCAAAGAAAGACTAATTCAAAAACCCCTGCAAAGTATTTTTTCATCTTAATGAAATTCCCTTAAACTTTATTTCTAAACTCAGCAAATATTATATTACTTAGCAGAGAGAATACAATCTTATTATTCATTAGCTAGTACATAAAAATAGGTTTTTTAAAAGATAAAATCTACTTAAAGAATCTTATCAAACTTGGGTTGGAGAGATGGCTCAGCCTTTAAAGGCTAGGCTCACAACCAGAGACCAGGAGCCTCGAACCAGACCAATGACTCTCTGCAATGAACACTTACAAGTAAAGATGTATGGACAAAGGTGTATTGGGCATGATTTGTAATGTCGCACTACAGCTTCCATGATGAGATTTGTAAAGCCTTCTCTTTTTATACTTTTCTCATTTTATTTTGCTGGGGGTTAGGGAGGGTTGCAAAGGCAGATGCAATGGTATGGTGTTGTTTTTCATTGAATTCAGTAGTTGTCCTGATAAGCAGTTGCAACTCCACAGCTACTAGTTGTGGTGCAACTGCGCTGGCCATAGCCAGGTGGAAATTTTGTTCCCTCAGACACCGACTCTATTAAGGCTGCTAAAGCAAGCATTACCTAGATCTCTAGCACTCTACAGAACTCAGAATTCAAAGGTTAAGGTGAAATTTTGTTCACTCAAAAAGGCTGAATAGCTCTCTTTTCCATCTTCCTCTCGGAGAGGCAGCTTTGCTTCTGCCTCTCTCCCCACTTCTCTGCTTCCCCCCTTCTCTGTCTCTTTCCCCTCTTTTCTCTCTCTCTCTCTCTCTCTCTCTCTCTCTTTCTCTCTCTCTCTCCCTCTCTCTCTGTCCCCCCTTCACCCTTCCTCCTCCATAACCCCCTGAATAAACATTCAACCTCACCCTGCAAAAAAAAAAAAAAAAAAAAAAAGGCTGAATAGCAAACAGTTAACCTTCTCTCCTAACTCACATCTCCCCCAAAATGGGGTGTCTTTCTGCTCTGCCACCACTTAAGAACCCTAGCTACAGATGGTTCCTCCCTACTACTTTCTGTCAGCTGGTTGCTAAACAAATATTTCACAGGATAAACGAATGTAACACATCTTCAATTAATATTCCACACCAATATGAGGGAAAGAATGGGATCAAGATACATGATGTGAAAAACACACAAAATAAATAAGAATCTTATCAAAATGATAATAAAATGTTATGTTAAAAACATCATTTGACAGAGAAAAATGTACTCTTATAGCTATTCAGATAATTTGCGTAAAACAGCAAACTTAAAAATAAAATCCATTTCAAACATTCTAACAAGTTGATGAGAAGTAAATATGTTGTTAAAATGGATCCTTCTTTACCAAAATAACTGCAAATATTTACTGTTTTATAAAAGAGAACTCACCATCATTTCATTGCCACAAGATACTTTGATAAAAAATACTCAGTTTTCATTATTACCAGTAATTTTACCCTTGGTGGTCAGGTATCACACTAGCCTGAATATGGATGGCAGTCAGGTAACATGCACAAGTTTGAGAACAAAAAGAGGACATCTGTATGAATTATACTCATAATCTACGCAATCAATACATAATTTGATAATCTATTAAAAATAAATCAAGAAGATGTAAAAATTACTTGGTGAGAATATAGTTATTAAAATACATTAAATTTTAAGAAACCGTTAAATATTACTATACCAATTGTTCTCTATTTTCCATTTGATATAACAGTGTCACTGGTGTATTTTTGTATCTTTATAGTTTTGTGATTCAATGTCACATATAATGTTTTAAATAACCTGTGTCCTAATTCTTTCATTCTACTTTTTTTAACTTTTACAAGCATTTTAACCTTTAAACACAGTTTTCCAGACTACAACACCATTTCTATACCTTAAAATTATATTCTTCTTGTTCTTCCAACTAAATATCTCAATATAAAGATAGCTTAGTATCTAAAAAAAACTTTCCTAAAAGCTTCTTTAAAAAAAAAAATCACTTAGAGGAAAAGCAGATTTAAAGTAGTTCATTTGTTTCTCCAATAAATTTTGTTTGTTTATTTTGGTTTTGTTTTTCAAGACAGGATTTCTCTGTGTAGCCATGGCTGACCTAGCACTCACTGTAGACCAGGCTGGCCTCGAAATCAAAGAGATCCGCCTGCCTCTGCCTCCCGAGTGCTGGGATTAAAGGCGTGCGCCGCCATCACCACCTAGCTCTCCAATAAATTTTTATTTTCCATATTTACAAAAAGCAGTTCACACAAAATAAGAAATGAGGTTTAAAAGCTGACTTTAGGAAGCACTCTCACAATTCCGCTTAAATGCGTGTCTCAACTACATATAGATTAGAAAATTCTAACTACATGCAATGGACTAAAATTACAGCGAGAGCAAATACTACAGCACATTCCAAAGGACCTCAAGTGCCTCAAGTGCCCTCATAAAAAATAAAATGGAAGGTTTTTATGGTATAAGCAGAAAGTATCCATAAAAAAAATCATTTCTAAATTTCAAACTAAAAAACTCAATGGACTGAGAGAAGGTAAACAGGAAGGGAAAAAATTTAATGAACAGATGCAGTATTGATTCTTTAAAAGAAAAAATGTTCTTAGTAACAAAACTGTTCAACCAATAAAGTAATTCTGTGGCACAAGACTCTACGATATTATACTCATAGACTCCAATACTTTGTTTCCTAATTTGTTTTTCATACTAAATTACAATTTCATTTGCAGAAAGAAATACAGATAAACAAAATGGAGAAAACACTTAAGTTCTGAATCAATATATGATTATCAGCATGCATTTTTGTCCTTACTACCATATGCTTTATACTTGTTGTGGAGATTTGAATGAGAGTGCCCCCATTTGCTCATATATATGAATGCTTGGTCTGCATTTGGCAGAACTATTTGTGAAGAATTACGAAGTGTGGTCTTGGAAGAGGTCACTGGGGCTAGGCTTTTGAGGTTTGAAAACTCCTCACCAGGCCCAGTCTCATTCTCTCTGCCTGGAACTTTCAGGTCAGATGTAAGCTGTCAGCTACTGCTCCAGCACCATGTTTGCCTAGCCTACACTATATCAGCCATGGACTACACCCCAATTTTTATTATTATTATTATTATTATTATTTTAGTTTTTTGAGACAGGGTTTTTCTGTGTAGCTTTGGAGACTGCCCTGGAACTAGCTCTTATAGACCAGGCTGGCCTCAAACTCACAAAGATCTGCTTGCCTCTGCCTTCCAAGTGCTGGGATTAAAGGCGTGCACCACCACCACCGGGCTTAGACCCCAATTTAAAGCTCCCACTTACAACTAGACTTGGTCATGGCACTTCATTACAGAACAGAAACCCTAAGACACTCATTATTCCTATCACTATTAATGAAAATATAATGACGTATGCCTACATAAATGAGAAACCTGCATTTAATCACTTAAAGGAAACATGATTCCAGAGTATAGTAAATACAGAAGAAAATAATAGGTATTATCATGCAGATACTAGCAAGGATGGCTTACCAGTTTTTCTCTGAATGTATCTTTTCCCAGCTTCCCTGAAAGCAACCACAGCTCTGAAAAAAGCCCGGAGAACTGCCCATCGGAAAACAGCTACAGGATCAATTCCAGTCATCCCGGAGACAAAAGCATTCCTGCTACTTCTCAGAAGAGCCACAATGTCTGGACGCATATGATCTGTATTTTTTTCCCGAAAATCCTATGTGAAAAAAGTATCAATGATTTTGTGGAAAAGACTATCAAAATCAATAAGATAATAAGTGACAGGTTTGAATGGTATGTGAACAGAAATTATGGAACTGAATTCTATTCTGGATAATTATCTGGACCATGTATCTTCTAAAAAGTGCCAGTTAAGCAGGGCGGTGCACACCTTTAATGTGAAACCTAGTAACCAAAATGAATGGAAGGGAGCAGGGAGGGAGGGAGGGAGGGACTGATGGCAGAGCAAGGCGGATTCAAAACCAGTCTAGTCTACAGAGCAAGTTCCAGCACAGTCAGGGTAACACAGAGAAACTCTGTCTCAAAACCACCTTCTCCCACCCCCACCCCCCAAAATTATATATACCCAGTAACCTATGACACAATTGCACAAAAGTGATGCCCAATATTTCTGTTTGACATTTTGTTTGTGTGCCCTATGGAACAACAGTGGGTTTGTCTATAGCTACTTTATTTTCTTATGGCTTCTGGTGTGCTAGGAATTAAACTTAGAGCATCACTTATACTAGAAAAGCATTCTACCACAGCTACATTCTCAACCCTACTTTTGGTCTCATTCTGTTTGCTATAGTTTGAATCAAAGTTACTGAATATTTTAACTTTTGGTTAACATTTTTATCAACTTGACACTTTTATCATTATAAAATATCCCTTTTTATCTCCAGTAATAGCTTTACTTTTGTCTAATTTCTTAAATGCCTATATAATTACACTTTTTTGGTGGTGATGGGGTTTCTCTGTGTAGTTTTTGGAGCTTGTCCTAGAACTCTTTCTGTAAACCAGGCTGGCCTTGAACTCAGAGGTTCTACTGCCTCTGCCTCTGCTGAGATTAAAGGAGTATGCCATCACCGCCAAGTCACAATGATACCTTTTAAATCAGTTATTAGTTTCAATCGACTCAGTAACATAAACAAAATATCACAGAAACAGAAATGTGTAATATGATAAATGTCCCCTTAGTCTGGGGCATTTAAATATTTGGTTCCCAGTTGGTGGTATTATTTGGGTAGGTTGGTGTGTTCTTGCTGAAGTATGCCACTGGGGACCAGCTTTGATTTTAAAGACTCATACCATTTCTATTTCCAACTCTTTTCTTTGTGCTTTGCAGATCAAGATGTGAGTGAGAACTCAGCATCTGCTCAAGCCACCATGCCTGCTGCTTCCCCACCATGATGAACTCTTAGTTAGCTCTCTGAAACTGTTAAGCCCAAATAAACTTTTTCTTCTATAAGTTGCCTTGCTCATAGTGTTTTATTACCACACCAGAAAAGTAACTACAATATCTAGCAACAGGCTCAAAATTTTTGATTAGTTTTACTTTGTAAATTATATCTAAACTCTGCTTCTCACCTGTGTGTTCCTTCTTGGGTATGGTACCTCCAATAGACTCAATTATTTCCAGGCATAAATCATTCACTTAGAACATCTATAAAGTATATAGATATCTCCACAGTATACCTTATATAAGATCTTCCCCATTTCTAATGCTACTCTTGTGATTCAATTTAAGACTTCGCCTCAATTTAAAGGGGGAAGGATAGGAGGCAGAAGAGAATCCAGTCTTGCCCTTTCTGCTGTCTGTAAAAATAAATATCTTCTGCTTAACGTAGTTTCAGAGTTCCTACAATAATTTCAACAATACACACACAAACAAAAAAAAACACTAAATTCCAATGGTGAAGTTGGTGGTAAACATCTGTAATTAAAGCATTCAGAAGGCTGAAGCAGGACTATCACTTCACCATGGGCTACACAGTAAGAAACTCCTGAACTCCATTAAAAACAAGAAAACACAATGTGATCTAGAAGCTCTTCAAGATTTAACCTGCTGTCTGCTCTTAGAATTCATATTATCCCACTATTAGTTAATAGTCTCATATGACCAGGCGGTGGTGGAGCCTGCCTTTAATTCCAGCACTCGAGAGGCAGAGACAGGTGGATATCCGTGAGTCTGAGGCCAACCTGGTCTACAAGAGCTAGTTCCAGGACAGGCTCCAAAGCTACAGAGAAACCCTGTCTCTCGGGGGGGGGGGGGGGGGGGGGAACAAAAGAAAAACGAAAAGTCTGATATCACTGACCTCTAATCTCTAATCTACTACTTCAACATACTAATCTCGGGTCTTACTTTACAACATGTAATTCACTACCTCAACTCATCAGCATAACATTTACTTTAGGTGCTCTCTTAAGTCAAAGTGTTTTAGAAAGGTTCTTATGAATCTACAAATTTAAAGGTAATTACTTCATTACTTTAACTCAGAAAACATTTATTTACAGCACATAGCTAGAAATAAGTATAAATATGATATGCAAATAAAATACTTACAAATATGTCTGTCTAGTTTTATCACTTTATCATTGTAAACACTGAACAGATAATGTGGCACATGGTATTTAATAAATAATGCTTTGGAGTTTGTTGGGTTGGTTTTTCTTTATTTCTTGGTTTTTCAAGACAGGGATTATCTGTGTTAACAGCCCTGGATGTTGTAGAACTCACTCTATACACCAGGTTGGATTTGAATTTACAGAGATCTGCCTACCTTTGCTTCCAGTGTGCTGGGATTAAAGGCGTGAACCACCATACTCAGCAGTAAATAATTCTTAAATAAATGGATCAGCAAATGGACAAATGACCTTAATTAGGATGTCTACTACAGCCAAACATGGTGATACACCTCTGTAATCCTAGCACTTTGGATATAGAGGCAGGAAAATTAGGAGTTCAAGGACATGCTCTTCTACATAGAAAATCAGAGACTAGTCTGAGCTACACGAGACTGTCACAAAAATAGAAAACAAAACAAAAACAAAAAACCATTCAGACACTCATCTGAAGATTTCATTTTATTGCTGCATTCCACGAAAACTTAGTATCTTAAGTGGCAAGTTTAAACTTCTGAAGATTTAAGAGTTAACCAACTCATCAGGTCCATAAAAATATATTCAGAAGTTAATATTAATAAACCTAGTAAGAATGAAAAGTCACAACTACCTAACAGTGCTCTAGAAACAGAAGTTCATAAAAGACCATGAGTATCACATCAAAACAAATGAACTATGAGAATGAACAATAAGTTTGAGACACATAGACACAATCTGTTCTTCTAACTTTGAAAAGTTCACTAGAATGGCCTAATAGATACATCTACAGAAGGAAACCAGCAGAAAGATCAATTTAAAAAACAGATCTCAGGAGACAGAGGCAGGCGGATCTCTGTGAGTTCGAGGCCAGCCTGGTCTACAAGAGCTCGTTCCAGGACAGGCTCCAAAACTACAGAGGAACCCTGTCTCGAAAAACCAAAAAAAAAAAAAAAAAAAAAAAGAAAGAAAGAAAAGATCTCAATTCTAGTGCACACCTTTAATTCCAGTACTTGAGAGGCAGAGGTAGGAATATCGCTAAGTTTGTAAAAGAGAAATATTGTCTGGGGGGAAAAAAAGAACATAAACAATGTTTACATGCAAAAATACTGTCAAGAAATAAAATGTTCTATATTTTAAAAGACACGCCTCTGCTCTAAAACCACATTCAGTAAGAAATTTACTGACCTTTACTCCATATTTTACTTTTCCAGCATAATGTTTTATGATAAAAGCAGGTTCCATCACAGCTGGAAATTCAATATAAGAATTCTCTTCATGTTGATGTTTAAACTTGTCTAGTAAAGTTTGATTTGTAGCCTGTGGAAAACTGAATTGGGGGGAGGTAACAAATTATGAGAAAGATGTCATTTATATAACATAACACTAAAGTACATTATAATTACAGTGTTGTCTAGTATACACTATTAATGTAATTAATCAAGAGTTCATCATGCCTAATTCAAACAGGGCCTCCAAGAAAACTGTTTTCCCAAAATTCATTTGCTAATGACCATTGTCTAAGTACTCAAGAGGTTACTACAGCCAAGGATAAGTGGGCCCCAACAGTAAAGTTTGCAGCAAAAGAAGTTTTTAGAGTCATCCAGGTGATGCTGGTTTTGTAAATATGTAAAATTTGTAAGAGTTGTGAAATTTCAAGGAATTCTACCAAATTTGAGAGAAAGAATAGGGAGACTAGCCAGAGACAGAAACCCGGAAGATAGGTATGAGTGAGCCCAAGTTGTAATGGAGACTCTAGGAAGTTGAAGTTGCCAGAAACATGGAAGATCTCCAAAAAAAAGCTACAGGCAACCAGCCTCAAGAGAGTTGCCAGAAAAGCTAGAGATTGCAAAGCCAAAAAGTCCATTAGAGATCAGATTATACCATCCCATCACTTGGGTGATAGATATAGATGATCAATCAAAATTTAATGTTGCCTTAGGGGGTTTTGGTTTTACTTTGGCTAAGACCCTCCTTTCTATGCTCCCACCCTTCCCTCGTGCAGAGGAATGTTGATCCTGTGGCCATCCTTACCAAATGTATGTTAATGTACACAACAGGCATCTTTAATTGTATAGGAGATCACAACTAAAAGTTACCTTCTGGACTTGAATTTTGGGATAAAGCTCAAACTATACAGGGACTCTTAGAGGTGAACTAAATAATTTGCATTATGAGCTAGACATAAGTCTTTGGGATCCCGGGGCAAATGGTTTATAATTTGTACATGAAATGTTTAGTCCTCAATGTAGCAGTGTTCACAGGTAAGAAGTGACAGGGTCCTAATAATTCACAACTGAACAAACTACTAAAAGGTGTGACCTAACTGAAGGAAGTAGGTCACTAGGACCCACATTCACCCCCTTATCTTTGTTTCTAAGATGTCCTGGGATGTGCAGCCTCCTCAAGCTCAAAGCAACTGAGCCAAAGAAACAGACTGAATTAAACTGGGATCCAAAGTAAATCGTTTCGTCTTTCATATTTCAAGTATTTTCATCACAGGGATGGAAATACTAGAAGTTTCAAATAGAAGATCTATGACAGAAAAGGGGATTCTTTCAAAAAACAGTTTAATGTTAGCATAAGTAATGAGTAATATTGTGACATGGTTATGAAGATGCTACACACCAATCTTAATGTGTAAAAGTTATTCTAAATTATAACAAATATAGAATCAAGGAAGAGAATGATTACTGGCTTCAGATCATCCTAGCTTATATTACCACTTCTTTCAGTGTGCTGAAACTTAAAGACTCTAAGTGCATTTGTAAGCCCCCTCAACCCTAAGACATTTTTCTAAAACCTTACTCACTCTCTCTTGGAAACGGGACAGTAGCCGCCCCCCCACACACACACACACGCTGGACTGCTCATCCTCCTGTGTCCTTGTGAATAATCTTCAAACATAACTCCATTCTAAGAATTGAGGCAAAGAAAACCCAAAGATGTTGACTCAGTTCCTGATGTATTGATTTAGTCACTGGACCAAGGTAAGGATGGACCACAGATGCTCTCCCTTATCACCTGACCATGCAGCTATTCTCCTGCCCTGGAATAGACCAATCACTGCTAGTAACCCTTTAAATAAGTCAATCCAATAAGTTGGAAAACAACCTACAGGTTCCACCCTTGTGTCTGTAGTTTTTGCTTTAAAAGATGGACTGTAACAGCTAACGGGGGTCCTTCATATCCCAAACCTGAAGGGCCCTGTCATGACAGAATAAAAATCCTCTTGCTTTTGCATCAATTGAGGCTGTGTGAGTGGTGTCTGGAGCAACTCCTCCCTTTTTTTTTTTGTTTGGACATCTAGTCCAACAAAACAAGTCAAGCAACCTTCACAACTGGTTTTCTAGTTCATAGGATGAGTGTAATGCTAGGTATAGTAGTGTTAATTGAATCAAATGCTACTAATAATTGCATCCAACACTACCTGCCACCCTACAGGGATTAAACAAAAGTTAAAAAGATTTTTTATGTTCATTTGTTCTCTCTCTTTTTCTCCCTCCTTCTGCTTTTCAAAGTCAGGATTTCTCTGTGTAGTCCTGATTGACCTTGAACTCACTCTGTAGACCAAGCTGGCCTTGCAGAGATTTCCCGCCTCAGTCTCCTGAGTGCTAGGATTAAAGGCAGGCACCACCACTGTCCAGCCTTTTTGTATGTTTTCAACACTGACATTATTCTAGTAGCTGTGCATTCAAATACTATTCTGCCCCAAAAACTTTCTCTCTAAGCTTATTCCAATGTTCTAAAGTCATTCTAGAAAAGACTATAAACTCCTGAAATTTGAAAAAGCTATAGCTCTACAGTACTATCACCAAATCTAATCCTACCTTATTTCAAGCCACTAAAACTATTGTCAAAATAAATGTCCCTTTAAGAATTCTTTAATTGTGTGGTATTCTTACTAAAAACAGGTATGGAGAGTGAAAGTGAAGAGTAAACAATTCCAAGTACCAGCCTAGGAAAGCCTAGCATCTGCAAACTACAACTCACATAGAATAAATATTCTCATCTTACTGTCTTTAGGCAACAATTTGTTTACTTCCTAACCCAGGGGTAATTTTTGTTTGTTTTTCAGGACAGGGTTTCTCTGTAGCTTTGGTGCCTGTCCTAGAACTAGCTCTTATCTTACAAAGATCCACCTGTCTCTGCTGGGATTAAAGGTGTGAGCCACCACTGCCCAGCTAGCCCAGGGGTAATTTTAAAGCGTACTTTGAAATGGAGAAAAAAAGTTTCTAAAGAAGTAGGGTAGCCATGCAAAGAAAGGTTCTCCCAACAATCTATATTTAATAAACACTCATGGATATATGGTGTATTGGAGTTTGGGGGGGTGGGAGGTAAAAAGAGTGTATCTGAAATAGTTATTCATTTTAAAGCAAGCACATTCCCTTAATTCAAGGGTTGATGAGATGGCTCAGTGAGTAAAGGCATCTGTTGCCAAGTCTGATAAGTTCGATGTGATCTCCAGGATCCACGTGGTAAAAGGAGAGATGTTGTCCTTTGACCTCCACATAAGTGGGTGCAAGTGTGCGCTCGCTCCTCCCTCCCTCCCCACCCCCCTCTCTCTCTCTCTCTCTCCACCCTCCAATAAAATGGAAATAAATAAATGATACTCAATTTAAGAACTGAGTGAGTCTACAGAGAAGCCCTTTCTCGAAAAAAAAAAAAGAACTGAGTGAATTATAATGCCAGCACTCAGGACACAGAGGCAAGAAGATCTCAACTTCAAGAACAGACAAGGCAATGTAGCTAGACCCTGTCTAAGAAGTGAAAGAGAGGGAGAGGGAGAGGGAGAGGGAGAGGGAGAGGGAGAGGGAGAGAGAGAGAGAGAGAGAGAGAGAGCAAAAAATCTTTAAAACATGTATGTCAGGATGTAGCCAGTGATACATTCCCCATGCTCCCATGGATGGATCAACATCCATGCGTATTTGGGTAGAACTTAGTGGATAATCAAAACAAAATAAAAGCTGAGTGTAAGTACTCCTTTAATCCCAGAACCTAGAAGGCAGAGGAAGGTGGATCTTCCATGCCACCAAAAACGGTGGGGAAAGGGGATGGGACATGAAATTTGGAGTGTTGCAGATAATATGGAAGGAAAGAGGAAGGTTGGAGGAAAAGGAGGTGGATGTTTCATTGCATAAATGTATGAAATTCTCAAGAATAAAATACATAGAAAAACTTAGTATCAAACTTTATAAGAGGATTCTGAAAAAAATTTGTTCAGGAGTAAAGTGCAGTCTACTTGGAAATATATATATACATATATATGTATGTATGTATACTTGAAAATATATATATTACAGATATATATGTATAAGAACCCTTAATTCTTCATTTGAAACATTATTAGAGCATTTATCCTTACTTAGACATAAGCTGGTTAGTGGTACGTGTTTGTAACATTAGCACTAAGGAGCCTAAGAACTGCTGTGAGTCTTGAGGCTAACCTCGGGCCGCAGCAGTCCTCGTCCCAACCTGGCCATAGTTACACAATGAATGACGTTCTGTCTCAAATGAAGGAGAAGCCACTCAAAAAGCACAATGACCAATTATGAAATTGAAAAGCACTATACTCACTTGCTTTCTTCATCCAAAAGATGGAGCAGTCCTGTTGGTTTTTTACTAATAAGATTTATGCAGCAAGTATTATCAATATAATCTATGTTGTGCCAACTGATACCTTCAGTTCTATATTCTTCCTGGAAAAACACGAAGAACAAAAAAACTTATTTGTCTTTCAGAAAATAACAAGCATATGACAACAAAGTTTTTTTTTTAACTAGACCAGTTACATGTGTTTTTATCTGGGTAATCTAGTCTATTACACTCATCTAAATGTTTGTTTCTGTACTAGTACCATTTTTTTTTGTTATTATGACTTTTTGACCTGAAATCAGATATAGTGCTATTTTCTGCATCCTTCTTTGAGGTCAGGACCATTCCAGCTATTTGGAATGTTTTGCACTTCCGTGTGAATTTTAGGATTATTTCTATAAATAGTGACATTGTGGGGACTGCACTGAATTTATATCCTATTTTTGACAGTATAGCTATTTTTTACAAAAGTAATTCTTCGGATTTATCATCATGGATGACCATTCTTTCTTCAAGTGCCTCCAGAACCTTTCTCTAAGTTTTCAAGACTTCATTGTACACCTCTTCTACTTCCTTGGTTAGGTTTATTTCAAGGTATTTTCCTTTTATCTGAAGTAATTAAAATTGGAATTACTTCCCAGACTTCATTTGCTGATCATTTTCCAAGATTTTGGGAGTGTTCACTGGTTCTTTTTCCCCCCTCTTCTTTGTTGATATTTTATTGAGTTCTACATTTTTCTCTGCTCCCCTTCCTTGACTCTCCCCTCCCCAAAGGTCCCCATGCTCCCAATTTACTCAGAAGATCTTGTCTTTTTATACTTTCTACTTCCCATGTAGCTTATATCTCTGTGAGTCTCTCTTAGTGTCCTCATTGTAGTCTAAGTTCTCTGGGATTCTGGCTTGTAAGCTGGTTTTCTTTGCTTTATGTTTAAAAACCACCTATGAGTGAGTACATGTGATAACTGTCTTTCTGGGTCTGGGTTCGCTCACTCAAAATAATGTTTTCTAGCTCCATCCATTTTCCTGCAAAATTCAAGCTGTTGTTATTTTTTTTCTGCTGTGTAGTACTCCATGGTATAAATGTACCACATTTTCCTTATCCATTCTTCGGTCGAGAGGCATTTATGCTGTTTCCAGGTTGTGGCTATGACAACCAAAGCTGCTATGAACATAGTTGAGCACATGTCCTTGTGGCACAATTGAGCATGCTTTGGATATATACCCAAAAGTGGTATTACTGGGTCTTGAAGAAGGTTGTTTCCTAATTTTCTGAGAAATCGCCACACTGACATCCAAAGGGGTTATACCAGCTTGCATCCCACCAGCAATGCAGAAATTTACCCCACAACCTCTCCAGCATAAGTTGTCATCAGTGTTTTTGATCTTGGCCATTCTTTCAGGTGTAAGATGGAATCTCAGAGTTGTTTTGATTTGCATTTCTCTGATGGCTAAGGAAGTTGGGCATTTCCTTAAGTGTCTGTCAGCCATTTTAGACTCCTCTGTAGAGACTTCTCTGTTTAGGGCTGTACTCCATTTTTTTTTATTGGATTATATGTTCCTTTGGTGTCCAATTTCTTGAGTTCTTTGTTTATTTTGGAGACCAGACCTCTGTCTGATGTGAGGTTGTGAAGATCTTTTCCCATTCTGTAGGCTGTCGTTTTGTCTTGTTGACCCTGTCCTTTGCTTTACAGAAGCTTTTCATTTTCAGGAGGTCCCATTTATTGTTTCTCTCAATGTCTGTGCTGCTGGAGTTCTATTTAGGAAGTGGTTCCCTGTGCCAATGCGTTCAAGTGTACTTCCCACTTTCTTCTTTAAGGTTCAGTGTGGCTGGCTTTATGTTGAGGTCTTTGATCCATTTGGACTTGAGTTTGTGCATGGTGATAGATAATGAGTCTATTTTCATTTTTCTACATATTGATATCCAGTTATGCCAGCACCACTTGTTAAATATGCTTTTTTCCATTTGATATTTTTGATTCCTTGTCAAAAATCAGGTATTCGAAAATGTGTGGACTGATATCTGGGTCTTCTATTCAGTTCCATTGGTCCTCCTGTCTGTTCTTAAGTCAATATCACGCTGTTTTCAGTACTGTAGTTCTGTAGTAGAGTTTGAAGTCAGGGATTGTGATGCCTCCAGAAGTTCTTTTATTGTACAGGATTGTTTTGACTATCCTGGGTATTTTCCTTTTCCAAATGAAGTTGAGTACCATTCTTTCGAGGTCTTTGAAGAATTTTGCTGGGAATTTGATGGGCATTGCATTGAATCTGTAGATTGCTTTTGGTAAAATTGCCATTTTTACTATGCTAATTCTGCCTACCCAAGAGCATGGGAGATTTTTCCACTTTCTGGTGTCTTCTTCAATTTCTTCTTCAAAGATTTAAAGTTCTTCTCATACAAGTCTTCCACTTGTTTGGTTAGAGTTACTCTGACATATTTTATGCTATTAGTGGCTTTTGTGAAGGGTGTTGATTCTCTGATTTCTTCCCCAGCCCTTTTATCATCTATGTACAGAAGGGCCATTGATTTTGTTGAGTAAATTTTGTATCCTGCTACATTGCTGACAGTGTTTATGAGTTGAAAAGAATTTTTGGGATCACTTATGTAAACTATCATATCATCAGCAAACAGTGAGAGTTTGACTTCTTCTTTTCCAATTTGTATTCCCTTGATCTCTTTTTGGTGTCTTATTGCTCTAGCTAGGACCTCAAGAACTATATTGAATACATATGGAGGAACCTTGTCTTGTTCCTGACTTCAGTGGAATCGCTGGGAGTTTCTCTCTATTTAGTTTGATGTTGGCTGTTGGCTTGCTGTATACTGCCTTAATTATGTTTAGGTATGTTCCTTATATCCCTGCTCTCTCCAAGACCTTTATCATGAAGGGATGTTGTATTTTGTCAAATACTTTTTCGGCATCTAATGAGATAATCGTGTGGTTTATATTTTTCAGTTTGTATATATGGTGGATTACGTTGACAATTTTTCATGTTGAACCATCCCTGCATCTGTGGGAAGAAGCCAACTTGATCATGGTGGATGATGTTTCTGATGTTTTCTTGGGTTCGACTGACAGTATTTTATTTAGTATTTTTGAATCAATGTTCATGAGTGAGATTGGTCTGTAATTCTCTTTCTTAGTAATGTCTTCCTGGATCACTGATACTTAACATGAAATGTTCTAACATTAACTATACCCCCACAGCATGCTGGTTAACTGTAGCTAGTTTCTTGTTTATTCATCTTCTAAACTATTAAGAAGCATATTTACTTGGGTTTGGATTTTGTAGGTTGTTTGGCAGCAGTGTGTACTGAACTGTAGGAATCACGTACATGCTAACCAGTGTTTTCCCACTCTACAATATCCCTAGTGTTAAAGGGGCATTTCCTAACTTTTACCTCTACATGTACTTTATTAGTTTCTATGGTAATATTATTTATGTTTGTTTTATCGAGACAGCATTTTTATGTGTAGCCCTGTCTGTCCTGGAACTCTGCTCTGTAGACCTGGCTTTCCTCGAACTTGCACAGAGATCCTCCTGCCTCTGCCTCCCAAGTGCTGGGATTAAAGGTGTGTACCACTACCTTTATATTTATAATTTTATTACAGTACTAAAATGTTAATTCTTAGAAAGTTGGCTTTTCCTTTATGGTTCAAAACAACATGAGCACTAATTATATAAATATTCCATGTGAATTTAGAAAAAATGGAATCTTCAGATGGAGTTCAGTATTCTACATATCATTTCATTAACTGGGTCTCAATAATCAGTAAGACAGAGAGCAATGGATACCCATAAAAGTACCCATCAACTGTTATTTATTTTTTAAGTATCTTACAGCCCTACTTGTGTTTTGAATATTGGTTCTATTAAGTTATTCAAGATAGAAAATTAAAACATCCTATTTACAGATGCATGTTCCTGATTTTAGTTTTATTAATCTTTGCTTCATGTACTTTGAAACTAAATTATCAGATACCTATAAATTTGGGACTATACACTTGCTAATTCCAACATGGAAGCAGAGGCAGATGGATCTCTGAATTCAAGGCAAGCCTGGTACACAGAGAAAGTTCCAAGACACCCGGGGCTAGGCAGAAAAATCCTGTCTTAAAAACAACCACACACACACACACAAAAAAAAAAAAAAAAAAAAAAAAAAAACGAATCTACTTTGTAATATGAGATAGTTCCTTTTATATTAGGTAATAGAGCTGCAAATACTTTTTGTTAATGTTTGATAAACCTTTTTTATACCATTTTACTTTTAGCTTTGTGTATAATAATAGTAGGACTGCCTCTGACAAACTTTGCTATTTATCAGTCTGACGATTTTCAGCTACTAGAGCAATCAACTCATTTATATCTAATGCACTCACTGGTACCTTACTATTTCTTCTTTCAAATATTTATCATGTTTTATTGGCATTGCTTCTCATTTTGTTGCCCAGGCCCTTCCAAAGAGCTGGAACTACATGCCCCTGTCACAGGTGCTCTTTTATACTTCCTTTTATTAGTGTTTGGATTGCCTGGGTCATTTTTGCTTTTCTTACAATCTACATTAATTTGGAAAAGATTTTATATTTATTTACTATTTTGTTCTTATTCTATAAATTATAACATGCTTCTTTAACTTTCAATGTTTAACACAAATAAAAGTTTCCGTAACTTACCAGTTAATACAAAGATGTCACAATCTTATGCATATGCTATTTTCCATGTGTATTTTAATTTTATTGAAACATTAAAGTAAAAAAATCCTTATCTTTGTTAAATTTAGTAATATGTTCATTTATATTCACTCACTTAAAAAAATAATTTCACAGTCGGGTGGTGGTAGTATATACCTTTAATACCAGCACTTAGAAGGCAAAGGCAGCCAAATATCTGAGTTCAAGGCCTGCCTGGACTATATAATGAGTTCCAGGACAGCCAGAGCTTCATAGAGAAACCCAATCTCAAAAAAAAAAATAATAATAATAATTAATGAGAGTAATGAATTATTATTTCACTATTTTGCATTTCATTTTGAATATCTGTTATAATAGGAATATAATTAATAGGCAGGCCTAAAGAATAAGCTTTAGTGTTTTTTTATTTTTTA